AAGTATAAGCTAGAATACCCAAGGTTCAATTCGTAGCCCCATACGAAAGGAACCAACAAGTACAAATCAGTTCATGGAAATATCTACAAGGAAGGGGCCTGGGTTTTTTTTTGACTCTCTGAACACTACTTTTCTGTGTAGTCTCTATTACTTGTAAGAGTTGAGAGAATTCTACATCCAAGTCTGGATAAAATGAACAATACAGCTCCAGATGTACAGCAGGGGTCAGCTAGCTAGAATTCATTTCAATCTCTCTAAACACTAAAAAGACTAAAATAGAAAACTCACTGTTATATTGACTCCAGCTTCTAACTGATTCCTATTTTTTAATAGAGCAATTAGTAACAAGTGAAAATAATTTCCTGCATTCACCCTCCACATTTTCTTTCCTACATTATAAGAAATAAAACAAACTCAACATGGACTTTCTTCCTATTTACTAAGGACCCTGATGTATGGAAAAGATGTATGTTCCGGCCCCCCCGGTCCCAGGCACCCCAGCAGCTGCCTCTTAGAGAGCTTTAGAGATCTGTAGCTCCAGGATTTAATAAATCTTACAGGAACTTTCTTCCTCTTTAAATGATTCATCACATTAAAGGGAGCGTTTGTTACCTCTCCTGCTCCCACAGCTCCTCTGTTCTACCTCAACGACAAACACAGCTCCCGCTCCAAGCTGATCGGGCGCACAGCCCCATCAGAGGGGCCTCCACGGGCATCCACGGGTGACAACAAAAGAGCAGGCACCTGCGTGCTGTGGAATGCTGTGCACTGATGTTTCTGGGATGGTGATCCAGATTCCTTGACTCTTTCCTTCCCTTTCCTTCTTACAGATTTATCAATAAGAGGCCACATTGCTTATTATCCAAGTTTAAGTTGTTGCTACTGCAAATAAAACATTTTAAGCCGTTGGTTGGTGTTGTTTCGCCTTAATTTAACCCAAGGGGATCACAAAACCTTTACAACTCCCTGGGCTCCCAGTCTGGGTCATAACACCAGATCTTTTCTCCTTTGCACAAAACTGACAAGATGCTCTAGCTGTCACTTGACACACCCCATCATTTCACACAGATTTAACAAGAGCTTATGTTATGGAATATTTCCACTACTGCATTTGCCTAGTCTCATGGGCACAGCTTGCCTGGAATACTGCTACAGAGCTAAACAGAATTATTCCAAGCACATATGGCATTAAGTCTTTAAATCATTCTAACACGGAAATGTCCATCACAAGGTTTGTCACTGAACTTTCAATGATGTTAGCAAGTCAGTGGATGACCCATTTTCTTAATTGAACAATCTTACGTTGTGCTCTTTCAATAAGTGGACACGATCAGTAGCTTGAACACTATCCCAAAAATTATCACAACCCACGCAATCCACTGCAGTAAGAGGTGACTTCCAGATATTTAGAGGCTCTACAGTAAAAACGGCAAAGTTATGTAGTAAGAAAGCAACAGGCACCTAAGAAGAGATATAATCTTCCCAAGTTTTCTTTTTACTATGCAAAAGACAGACTGTTTACTCCACTGAGGTTCTGCAGCTTACCAAAAAGCACTTCAAGAACTGCAGTAGTCAGCAGAGGGAGGTTATAGGGGCACAAGTAACACACAGATATACTGTTTTAACAGCTTACACCATCTCTGGAAGGGGCAGCAGAAAACATCTGTTTCGCAGCCTCCTGAAAGCCCCAGTGCCTCGCCCCCTGCTGCAACATCCGCCATTCCCAACATACGCCAGCTTTCTGGGAGCACTGTGACCACCTCGGTGGGCTCAAGGCTGAGCTGAGACACTGCTGCCACCCCTCACAGTGAGCCTTGCCGGGTTTGTGACAAGCGACCTTTCTTCGGGGTCATTCTGATGGCCTCAGGGTGAAAGAAGCATTTGTGCAAGCGTCTGGAACACCGAGATGGATATTGCAATCTGTATTGCAAAGTATTAGGGAAAATAATATATCAGTAGCTTTCTTTAATGCCAGTGAAAAGTTTGGACTGATGCATGAAACTGAGGAGGAGGAAGAGGCTAAGTACCTACCATCTACTGCAAAGAAACTCTCCCAAAGTTTATGATAACACATTTTAGACAACTTAGAAGTTTACAGCATAGTGAAGAAAGTTCTTCTTGCTGTACAGTCTGAAACAATGCTGGAGTATTGTGGCCCAAGATTTAGGCAAACGAAAATGAAAGAGGATAGCACCTGTCAAGTGGCTACTGGTTTCAGAATTCCTGGGAAAATTGTTTAAGGGAGAAAGGGCTGAAACTGCAAAGGAGTCATGTATTTTCTAGACCTGAAAAAACAATGTGGTCATTAACCTCTGGCAGTAAAACTGTAAGTAGGGGGGCAGGTGCCCTGTCACTGTGCCTGAGGCAGCCAAGTGGGTGATGGTGTACAGGCCACACCATTCCCCAGAGGGAAAGGAGGTCTGTGAACATTTCTCTTTCTGCAACCATGGCATTTAGCCAAAGGCTGCAAAGAAGCCACGAAGATCCTTGGGGGGCTCAGCCCCACCCCTGTGAGGACAGGCTGAGAGAGTTGGGGGTTCAGCTGGAGAAGAGAAGGCTCTGGGGAGACCTTAGAGTGGCCTCCCAGGACTGAAAGGGGCGACAGGAAAGATGAGGAGGGACTTACAGATCAGGGAGTGTAGGGACAGGATAAGGGGTGATGGCTTTAGACTGAAAGAGGGAAGATTTAGGTATCAGGAAGAAACTCTTCCCTGTGAGGTGGTGAGGCCCTGGCACAGGCTGCCCAGAGAAGCTGTGGCTGCCCCCTCCCTGGCAGGGTTCAAGGCCAGGTTGGACAGGGCTTTGGGCAACCTGGGCTAGTGGAAGGTAGACCTGCCTTGGGTCAGGGGGTCGTACTGTATGGGCTTTAAGGTCCCTTCCAACTCAAACTGCTCTGTGATTCTGTGAAAGCAGCTGCCCCCTTTCTCCCTCACCCTCCACACTCTGAAGCTGAGTTCGCCTAGAGTTACAGCCCAACCCACTCTCACAAACCGTTGCTTCAGAGCAATCGGCTCCAACTCCAATCACATGCCTGCAGCAGGCTCCAGCAGGTAGAACACACCGAGCTCAAGCAGCTGGGGTGATCCTTTTACTGTCAAGTTTTAACAGACAGAGCTTTGTTTCATAAGGAGTAACTTTACAGACCACCTTCAAGACTTTCAAAGGCTTCAGATTTAACTAGCAAGGCAAAAAGGCACTGAAAAGCAATGTGCAGCACCAGATAGTCTGCAAGCAGCAGGAGTTGCTCCCATATTACCTGCTAAAGGACGAGGAGGTACCTGAGATGAGGCAGCGAGTCCCTCCTCGCTTGATGCCAGAGACATGGGAGAGACCCTGCTGGTGCTCTTCTGTGATGGCTTTTAGCTTATCTAAACCTGTGTATATGCAGAAAGAGTTGATCCTTGCCTTCCTCATACCCACACTGGGTTTCCAGCTTGATCCACTGAACTGCCTGACCCTAAATCAGCCTTTGGTTGGTATAAGCCAACCACGGAACCCGAATCCTGGGACAGAATAAGTCAGAGCTGCTTTGGTAAGACAAGGATTATCACCCCTCCCAGCAGCAGCCAAGGAGTATCCCTAGGCTGGAGTTATGAGGACTGTGCAGCACATCTGCCACAATGCACCCTTAAGAAACTGTTCCGACAAAGAAGAGAGAAAAAAGAGCAAAAGGGGAACACACAGAACAGGAGGGGCTGCCTGGGTGGGATTTGTACCTAAGCTAACACTCACCCCATCCCAAGAGCCATTTCCTCTCCTGCCCAACGTACACCCTCCCATGCAGGACCCTTCAGGTCAAGGCACGCGGCTCCCATCCCACATCCCCCCCTCCCCCCCGTCTCCCGCTGAACCACAGCAGAGCGGCTCCATCCCCACACACTGGCTGCCAGGAGTGGCTGGCTGCTCCCCTGACAGGTTCACCAGAGCCGCCTCTCCCACCTGAACCTCCTCCTCCGGCTTGGATGGTCGCTCCCAGCCCTGTGCTGGGCTGTCTCCCGAGGAGATGCTTCAGATCTCCATGAGCTGAGCTCTCGGGCAGTGCCCGGAGAGGACACCATGCTTCCTAGGCAAAGCTGTGGAGCAGAGCAGCACAAAGCACCCTGACCAGCACAAGATGCACAGAGAACACAGACGGGCAGCACTAGAAGGGGCAAGGCCATGCCAGCACATGCCTTTGCCTAGGATGCTCTGAAAGGAAGGCCCGAGCTCTGACAAAACAGTAGCGGTGCAGCAGTAACTAAAGGCAACACCCAATGATTGGGGGTGACAGTGGGCGCTTCCCAGCCCTGCAGCCGGGACTGAGCACAGGACAAGCTCGGGCAAGATGTGGGATTGCACCACGAGGTGATGAATCCAAGCTGATGCCAGATGGGCCCTGGATAACGGCCAAGGCCACCCCAGTGCCAGCTGCTGCCCCCGCTGCAGCTCCTGCCCACTGCCCCGCAAGACCCTCATGTCCCCCAGCCGCAGAGGCGGCTGCCTCCACGAGTGTCGCAGCAGCGCAAGCACCGGTCTCCAAGGAGTGTCTGAAGTCCCACTACTCAGGCGTTTCTTCCACGCAGTGCTGGGCAGTGGCGCCCACTGCCAGACCGAGGGTGCTCTCTGGCACGACTCCCACCATGGGACACATGCTCCAAACTGGCAGGTCCCCAGTTGTGCCCAGGCACTGACGGGCTCGCAGATAATATTCAGTGGCTGGTAACATGGGGATGGGAGACATGGAGCACCCCCTGGGGAGAGCCCCAGGGCACCGTCCCCTGCCAAGGTCACCACGCTGCCCGAGTCCTCTCCCTGAGCTCCCGCGCCTGCAGCCTCCCCGGTGCCCCCAGCTCCCGGCGCTGGGCCGGCCTCCACCCCCTGGCCCGACCACGGGACCCCTCTGCCATGCCGCAGAGCGTTCCCGCGCAGCGCAGAGGCCACCTGCTGCCACCTCAGCCCCAGTGCCATCGGCCCCGCCAGATTTACTCCGAAGCAAGCAGGTTTAGTCCAAAACCAGTGCGTTTAGTCCAAAACGTTTATTACAAAGCCAGCGGGTATAATGCAAAGGGAAGGGGGTTTGTCCAGAGCAACCGCTGCAGCGGTAACTGCGCCCTCAGGTCACACCCCAAGGGCTGCGGCCTTGAGCCTGAGGGGCTCCCGGGGCGGGCACGGGTCACTTCTGAGGGGGGAGGCCTTGGAGGTAGTAGACCCAGGAGACACCGCCCACCCCAGGACAGGACACCACCATCTTGCTGGTGATGGGGGCTGCACCAGGGGCCAGGCCACCCTTGAAGGAGATGGAGAGGGAGGTGGTCTGCTTGGAGTGCAAGCTCTCAGGGGCCCTGAGAGTGAAGGCCGGGTGCTCCACCCGGTACTGGAAGGCCATGGGCTGCAGGAAGACATTCTTAAAGGAGATGGAGGTGGTGCCGCCAGCCTGGATGGTGAAGGGGCCCTGGGACTTGGGGGGGAGGGCCAGGCCGAAGAGGGGGATGCTGTATTCCCCACCAAGCAGGGAGGAGAGCTGCAGCATGGCCCTGGCTTCACCCAGCTGGCAGGGCTCAAAGGTCACGTCCACACTCACCTCTGAGCCTCCTGGGCTGGCAGGGGCCACGCTGATGGTCTTCTCCGTCATGAAGTTGGCACAGCTGGTCTGCACAGAAGAGAGAATGGGGGTGTGTGTGTGGGTGTGTGTGTGACAAAAGCAAAACCAGCATCTCAGGAAGAAACAAGGTCCCCACCCTCACAATGGCCAGGGTCCCTGTCCCTTGCCTGTCACTGTGCCTGTCCCCCCCACCCCCTGCCCGTGAGGAATGGCCATCAGGAATGTCCAATGTGCACCCAACCCTGCACCCAAGCTCTGGGGGACCTTAAAACCCAGCCCTGGAGTGGGCCATGCCACCTGCAAGAGCAGCTCCAGCAAGGGCAGCAGAGAACATCTGCAAGCAAAGACAGGCCAGCTGGGGACAAGCCCAGCATTGGTGGGGAGACACGCAAGCTCACGTGGCCACCCCAGCTCTGCCAGGCCAAGATAGAGGGGCAGGATCCCTTGACAGAGAGGGCTGATGCTGGCCAGATGAGCTGCCTCCCAGCAAGGGCCCAGGGCAGGCTGGGGTCACCTGGAGGTGGTAGTTGGTCTTCTGCCGTGTGTAATTCATTATTTTGGTGGTGATGGTCTGACTAGAGCCCAGTGTGGTGCAGAAGTAGAGGGGCTTCTCTAGCCTGCTCACGGTGGCTTTCAGGTGCAGGTTGTAGTAGAAAGAGCCCAAGTCGCTGCTCCGGAGCACCAGGCGCCCGGTGCTCTCACCCACTTTTAGGGGCTGGTACTCAAAGACAAGATCGGCCTGGGAGGAACAAAAGGAGATGCCACTGGGTCAGGCAGAGATGGGGAAGGCAGGGCCTGCAACGGAGGAAATCTGTTCCTGGTGTGCTCCAGCAGTGCTGGAAGGCAGCCCAGCACCCTCCCTTGCTCCAGGTCCCGCTCTCTGGGGCAGAGCCTTGCTACATCTCGGGGACAGTTCACGCAGGGGACCACCCCCAACAGCTCAGAGCCCTTCAGCACTATCCCAGAAGCTTCCCACCCTTAAGATGCCCTTCTACTCCCCCAGGGCACAAAACACCTTTCCATGCAGGCTGCAAACTCCCTGCCAGTGGGGTGAGGCATGTCCTACAGCCACTCTAAACTGAAAATACCCACACTAAATACAGAGCCTGTGGCACAAGGACCTGCCCCGTGAGGCCTGATGGGAGCATCTCACAAGGGGTAGCATGGCAGACTCCACCGGCACAGGGCAATTCCCACTAGGGATCTTCTCACATGCTGCTTCCCCTCCAGATTATTAGCAGGTGGGAGCAGTCACCCTTGTGAAGAAGCCCCAGATAGCTCACGCAGGGCATCACCCCTCAGCACCACCCACTCCCAGAAAGGCTGCAGGAGAGGAGAGCACACTGCATGAGCTTTGCTCCTACCTCAGACTGCGCAGGAACAGTGAAATGTGGGGGAACATTGACATCGGGCACTTTGCAACCTACAGCAAACGTCACCGGGACAGGCAGAGGGTTGTCCACCTTGATGGTGGCAGATACTCTCTGCCGAACTGCGGTGGTCACTTCAACAGTGCTGATGGGTCCCGAAGCAGTGGCCTTGAAAGTCACCATGTAGAACAAGTACTCCTTGGTCTCCTCGTTGAGGAAGGTCACCTGAATCGGAGAAAAAGGGCAGCGCTGGTCATTCTGCACATAAAAATACACCAGCTGTGCTGAAGCCAGCCTCAAGAGCGCCCCAAGCTCAGCACCCTGCTTCCAAGAACGGCCGTAAGCAGCCACCAAGGAAGAGTGCGAGGCTGTGGAGAGTGTGTGGTGTTTGGACTTGATACTCCCCTGACTGCCCATTGCTTCCAGCTCACCCGTGTCCTGGCCCACCTGTGCTTAGCAGCACCCAGTACGACCTTTGCAGAGACTGACAGGTGAGTGGGGGGTGTGGAGAGATGCCTGCTGTTCAGTACCCACCCAGGACACCTACAGTCCCACCAGTGGGCACGGGGAGGTATGAGAGCAGCTGTGTAGCTTCTCAGGGAGCCAAGAGCTCCTGGAAGGCCCCACAGCCCTGTGTCTGCGCTTACCATGGCATTAAAGACTCCTTCCTTGTAGGAGAGGAAGGTGAGCTTGTAGTCCTTCTTGGCAGAGCCTGGCACATCAATGTATTCCAGCCCCTGCAGCACAGAACTGCTTTCCAGGTTTTCTGGCTTGAGCATGTCCACCACCACGTGGAACCTGTGGGAGAGAAGCATGCAGTGAAGGTCAACAGGAAGGACTCCCACAGGACGCCACTTGTGGTGGGGTACAACTCAGCCCCTCTTCTCAATGCCCCTGAGGGAGCCAGCTCTCATCCACCTGGGAGGAAAGCCCTCTAGGACAGATCTGCATAGGCAGAATGTGGCTGGCATGATCCCAGACACCTACAGCCAGAAATGGCCAAGTAGAGTGAAAAGCTTGCAGGAAGGTGCTTCCAGGCAGTGGGAAGCTTTTCCTTGTGCCACTGCAGGATTGCTGATGGGATGAGACTTCCTGGGCTGGACTCACCTCTGTGGTCTGTTCAGCCAGTTGGAGACAGGGATGAGCTCAGTGTAGGAAGTCCTACACGGCACCTGCTGGAAAATGGTCCCTGAACACTTTGGGGTCTCAGCAGTCCCTTGCAGGAGGTAGTACAAGCCTGTCCCATCTGGCAGTGGGAAATAAAGGGAGCCCTAGAGGTAAGAAATAGCATAAGTGAGCTCTCCTGCTCTCTGCCTGGACCAGTTACTGGCTCTCCAGCACACCTGGACAGTCCCATGTCTCAGGCTACCACCTGAGCAGCTTTGGGCAGGTCCAGCTGGCAGAGCTGTGACTGCAGCCCCGTGTCCTGCGCTGGTGGAGATGGCAATGTCGTACCTGCTGGGGCTGGCACAGCCACAGGACACAGGCAGCATGTCTGGTTAGAGCAAGGACACAGCGGCCCTGCAGCAGAGCTGCTCTGACCATCCTAACACCCCTTTCCCTGGGCACATCAGCTGCCAGCCCTGTGCTCATGCAGGGACAGCCATGCTAAGGGGGTGGCAGTCCCTGCTAAGCTCCACTGCCCCAGCATTACTGCCTGTCAGCTGGCACGGCAGGGTCCCACCAGCCAGGGTGGGCCATGGGAAGTTCATATCTGGTCCTCATTTTGGGTGCCAGTGGGTCACAGCCACTCTCCTCTGCCTCCAGGGAAGCGAAAAACTGCGGGACTCTTCATGCAGGTCTGTACATTAAAGAGATGCTGAACGTGTGCAACCCCACAGGGCACAGATCTGCTGAGCACCCTGGAGACTTCACCCATAGGTCCTCCACTCAGGCCTAAATTCTGGCGTGGCAGAAGGTCAGCTGGAGTGGGAAAAGGACCCCAGCAGCTCCAGCACCCCAGAGCACTTCTGCACTGACCCCCTTGATTTAAGAGCTTGCCCCTGGTCTGCCCATGCAACCAGAGGGGCCAGTCACCCCCATCTGCCCAGCCCCAGACCTGCAGGAAGGGCTCTTTCCAAAGCTCCTGAAGAAGATGTCAAGAGAGATCTCGGTGTCATTTCCCACCTGGCTGCTCACGGCCAGGGGGCCACTGAGAAATGGGAGGGGAGCTTCTCCCCTCTAGTTCCCTGTGTGCTGTAAAAGGGCCCCCGCATGGCAGTGCAGGCAAAAGTGGTCATGCCCAGGGTGGGGGAGCCTGTGCAGCCCACAAGGCTGAGCACGAGGGTCTCTGGGCCCCCTCAGCTGCACAGGCAATGACCAGGAGCTGCACAAATCAAACTTAATTTCCTGGGCCATCAGACAGGCGGGTTTTTTAGTTTAGCTGCTCCGGTACATTCAGTGGTCAGTCCAAACTTCCCACCTGAACTTCCCTTACTCCTGGCCTCTAGCCACCAAGAAACCCAGCTTCCAACATAGGATCTCAGGATAATTTCTGTTCATGGGGGACCTCTGAAGGTCATCTCATCCAACCTCCTGCCCAAAGCAGCAAGGATCACGCTCTGAGGGTCAGTGTGCTGGCACAATTCACATACCTGATGCTTCTTGTTCTCAGAGCTCATGGTTAGGGGTTCGTAAGTGATCGTGTAGGGCTTGTTTTCCTGACTGGCCTCTAGATGGAAAAATTCAGGCCCTTTCCAGTGTTGCCCCTCAATGACAGCTTGCACAGTGCAGTCCTTATTGCTCGGGTTGGACAGGAGGATGGTCTGGCTGTGCTTCTCGCGCACGGCACACGTGAAAGTCAGTGTCTGCAACAGGACCACAGAGGCTGCTTGGTAACGGCGAGGAACGCTTTCCACTCTGACTAGCTTTATGCACAGGTGTCCTGGTTCAGCTAAGATAGGTTTAAGTTTCCCCAGCAGTAGGGAGCGGGCTGTAGGTGGGTTATTCAATACCATGCTGATGTCAGGTCACGGCGCCCAAGTGCAGGAAGAGCATTGGGACGGCTTTTGTTCATCGTCGCTGCCCTTCACTGCTCTATCCTTGTGGTATATCTTTTGTCCTGTTTACTGTTATTACTGCTTGTTGCTATTGCTATTGTTGTTGTTCGTTTTATTATTTGTTACACTGTTGTATTAAGTTTTTCCCTATCCCAACCCCGGGGTTTGTATCTCACTCCCTGCCCCGTCCGGTCCGAGGGTGGGGGAGGGACAACGGCAGCGGGGTCTCTGGTCCCGGCAGGGCCTAAACCACAACAGGGAACAGCTTTTCCTTGTCATAGGCAAAATTTCCATTTGAGCCATAGTTTTCAGGGTAAATCAAATTGTTGGTTCTTAGAGAAGGTAGAGGAACAAGTCTCTTGCATGCTGGGTGAAGGGGGCTGCTGCCTCCCTAGGAGGGGAGAAAGAAAACTGGAAGCCCTGGAAGGTTCTCTCTCCTGTGCAAGGACAAGACCTGCAGCTGCGCAACCCCTTCGTGTTCAGGCTGATGAGCAGCTCCAGACTCTCTCTTGGGAGCAAGAGCCAATACCTCCCAGCCGCACCCTCCTGCAAGGCCTGTGAGGGCCAGGAGTCCTCCACAGAGCACCCCTGTGCCCCAGGAGCTGGGTGCAGATGCCTTTCTCACTCCTCACTCCCCTGCCCCGACAGGGAGGAAAAGTGTGGCTGTGGGTGTGATATTATGGCTATAGCTAGGTGGCTCTCTGGGGTCAAGGGATCTCAGAAAAACACTGCAGGGTATCCCCATGGCAAGGATGCTGCAGGGCAGAGCCAGGACAGCTGAGATGCTCACTGGAGAAGCAGTACCTTGAATAGGGGAGGAAGGCAACCACAGGGCTCACAGATTTTGGGAACCCTGCCCAGGGGTTTTCTCAGCTCTCTGGGACACCCAGGCAGGAAGACAGGCAGAAGTGAGTCTATGCCCCTAAGATCCCTCCATTCTTGCCCTAGGAGAGATGTGGTGCAAATTGTGGGGTAAGGGGGTATCCGTCCCGTCTCTGTTCCCGTTACCTCTTTGGACATAGGGGTCTCTGTGCAGCATCCTGCCAGGGTAAGCTGGAGCGGCTCACTGCCCTCGATGAAGCAGTGCAGGCCCTCGCACTGGATAGCACGTCTCAGCTTAGAGGGGCGGAAGGTCACAATGAAGGGGATGTCCATTCCTGGGGAGATGTAACCCTTTGTGGGGCTGATAGAGAAATCTGGCTTGAAGCTCTTGATGTCCCACTTAAACCTTGCCAAGGAAAGTGCAAGGACAGAAAGGAACAATTAGCAACCGGGAGGCTACGAACAGTGTGACGTTTCTAATCCTCTTGGGGGCTTTCCCACAGGACCTCAGGCAGGGTGCTGAGCCACCTGGCACTAAGGCTTCAGGTTGGGCAGGACTCAGCTGCACCCATCTGTAAACAAGCTTTTGGTTGTACCCCTTGCTGACTTCCAGGGCCTGACTGCACAGCCTTGGCTGCACAACTCCCCACTGGAATGGAAAAGCAGAGGGCAACTCTCTGGACAAGCTACAGCTCCATCCAACCCCCACCCAAGCTCTCAGCCCTCAGAGAGGGCAGGGTTTGGCATTACTTGACTCCTATGTCGCCCGTGTTCTGCATGATGAGGTGCCGGGATGTGTAGCTCTGCTGCACCACCGCTCCGAAGCTGAGGTGATCCTGGTCCAAGCTCACGCGGATTCCCTGGCAGGAGCCCTGCACCATGAAGAGGGAGCGCACCAGGCCGCTGCACTCCAACATCACTTCTTCGGTGAATGGCTGGATGCGGCACTTTGGCGAGAAGGTCACTTCCACTTTACAGGTCTGTCCTTTGGGCTTCAGACTTAGTTCATTGGTGGGCTTTAAGCAGAGAACCTGCCCAAAGAAATGAGTGGAGACTACTTCCTCTGGCAACTGAGCTGTGAATCCTCCATAGAGTCTTCCCATTCCTGTTCTGTTCCCATCAACACTGCCCCAGTCCTACTCATTCCCAGGGACGCATCCCCAGCTACCAAAGGAATTTTCCTGAGACATGTATATCTGGCCATGGTGAGCTGGACTACATCTTCCAAAGTAATCTCACTTGAGCTCCAAGAGAGCTGTAACTCTTGGTCTTAAAGGATTACTTTACCATACTTTAATATACATGCCTGCATCCTAACGTATGTGTCTGAAACAGATGAGGAATGGTACCTTCTTCTCACTTCTGGCTATGAGGGGAATCCTGACACCTGGCTCAGATGAAGCATTCATGCTGCCCAGCAGGGAGGACAGGACAGCACACAACTGTAATTAGCTACCAGCTCTCACCCAGAGCAGCTCACAGCTACCCACAGGCACTCCTGGAGGCACAGCAAAGCGCTCTCCAGTGAAGGAAGGGGCCTCACCCCTGCTTCCTGCAGCTCTGCCATGGTGGACTTGAGACTGAGCTTAAAAGTGAGAGGAGCAGCACTGTTGTTGGCTATGGTGACAATCTTCTTCACCATCTGTCCGATGGAGAGGGCTCCCAGCTTCACCACCTTTCCTCGTGGTTCCACAACATCAACCTAAGGCAGGAGGGATTAATATAAAGCAAAGGGAAAGAAGGGGGAAAGGTTTTCTGACACCTTTGCGGCAGAAAACTAAAAAATGTTAGCCTGGGGAAGAGAAGGAAAATGAGTGAGAAAGCCGTGCCCGCAGTCTGCGCCACCTGGGGCTTTAGGATTTGGATTTCATCTCACCTTCATTTCCGTGCCCCTTCCTCGAACCTCAACAGTTTGCTGGCAAAGACCATTGATTTCAAAAGGGATGAGCTCACGGTAAGATGCAATCTCTCTGGGATAGAAAGTGATGGGCACCTCTACTCTCCCTCCTGGGCGTAGGACATACCCTGGGAAGTCCACATGCAGGTGTGCAGTGCTGGTGAACAAGCAGCTCAGTCTGGCAGAAAGCACAGCAGAGAGGAGCAGAGGTGTCACAAGACTGTGTGTGCTCAGATGACAGTATCACGGCGAGTTAGGGCTCTCGTGGCTCCTCTCCCTGCATCCTCAGGATGTCACCCACAGTGCTCACGAGGACATGGACCAGGCACATGCTAAGCAAGGGCCGAAGGAGTGTGTGGAGAAGGCCTACCTCACATCCTTATCTGCCTGGTTTGTGATGACGAGGGTCTGACGGGAAGGTGCCATCCCAGCATGGTAGATGAAGCAAGTTCCAAAGTTGAGTCTGGTAGTGGAGAAGTGCACAGTGGGCACTACCACAGTGGCCAGAAATACGCAGGTAAACGTGGGGCCCTTGTTGATCTGGTGAGGAGAAAGACAGCATGAGCCCGCTGAAGAATGGGAACTACAACTGCAAACACCAGAGATGGCCGAGGAAGAGGATGGGGGGCAGCTGGCTGCACTGACCATAAGGAAAAGCAAGTGCCAAAAGACCCCAGAATTGAAATAGAAGGTGGAAGTCCAAGAGGGAATGGGTTTTTGGAGAGTTGTGGCCCTGCTTTGTGCAGCTACATGCTGGCAGGACCTTTCTGTGCCATGTGACCAGCGCAGCAGAGGCCGGGCAAGGAGAACCAGCTCTATCTCCACACACATATAGGACACTCCTGGATTAGGGGCAGAGGGGGCCTGGGCAATGTGCCCTGCCAGAAAAGCACTTCCCAAGGTCATTCTGGGTAAGCACTTATTAAAATACTCCCTTCAGAAGCTGCCAGGCTCTTTATTTCAGCAGCAGGAACCTCTTTGCCTCGTTTGGTCTCTTCAGTGACAGAGCTCACCCAGTTCTGGGCTCCTGCTGCCAAGCTGCTGTGTAGGGAAGGCGAAGGTCCCGTATTAAACCCTGGTGCCTCACCTGCAGCGTCAGCTCTACATCTTTTAAAGAGCACATCTTCTGTGGGTGAAAAGCCAGCTGGGTCTCTGCTTTCCCCTCTGCGTGCACGACGCCCATCTGAGGGGTGACAGTAAGGACCTGCTTACAGGCTGTGGGGCCACTCAGTTCCCACGAGAAGGTGAAGCTGAAGTTGCTGTTATTGTGGATGCTGAAGAGATGCTGGACGTTCTCGTTCAGCTGTACCTGCAAGGAAAAGGCGGTGAGGACTGGGGGTTAGAGCAGGTGCAAAGTGTCAGCTGGCTCAACAAGTGATCTTCCCTAACGTGCTCCTGCATCTTTTGTATTTAGCTAATGACCTGCATGAAACATCAATCTTCCTCCCTCTAGAGACCCATAAATAAAGAAAAACATTCCCTTGTTTTCAAATGTCTCTGTGAAGCTCCTGGTTCTGGCCCAACCTTGCAGGCCTTTGTGGGGCAAATGGTTCAGCGAAGCAGTGCTGCTCACCTCCTTGAAATCAATGACGTTGATCTCCTGTGCACTGAGCTCTGTGACACAGCCGTCGCTGTCCTCACACCTGACAGACGTGTGCATGCTATAGCTGGTGGCCTTGATATTCAAGGAGAGGGGCTGGGTCTTCCTCTTGACATCGCACTTGACGTTGAAGACTGCCTCTCCTTCTAGTGTTGGTGTGAAGAAGACTGTAATGGGAAACCTGGCAAGAGAAGACCCTTTTTGCTCCATTCGCCATCTGTTGGCTTTCCTGGCCACATGTTGTCTGCTCTATGGGAGAGCAGCTCTGCAAGGGCCCTGGTGAGGCCCCAGGCCTGGGAGAAAGCAGGAGCAGCACTCTCCGCTTCCAGGGCCTTCCACTATGGAGCAAGCCCTGGTCAGCCCTGTTTAGGGTACGATGATCCCATGCAATGAAATGCCAGAGGATACAACAACAAGGCAGCAAACCCTGAGCTAACGCTGACCTTACTTCCCTGCCCACGTGCTGTAGTCCACCATCTGGCTGAGACCCCAGACACAGAGGAGGGCACTCGTGGAGACCCCCAGTCTCTTCGATCTATATGACAAGGGTAAGTAACATCCTCTTTGCCAAGAGCAGTCGTCCAGCTCCCCTGACAGCAGCACAACATGGGTGCCACCAAACTGCCTCTTGGTAATTTTTGTGGGTAATTTCTGGGTATGTGATCAAAACCAAACAAACTACAGAGATTTAAGGAATTACCACTTCTCAGGTGAGCCACAGTAACTGATACAGGATGCTCTCTTGCACTCTGTGGCAAGCCAAAATTCAGCATCTTTTAAGACACAGCAAAGCTGCCTGGAGCTAACGTGTTCTTCTTACACCCTGGCAGGCTGGGAGTGAGCACAGGGACATCCACGATGGATCAGCAAATGAGTTGGTGACCTCTTATACCGCTTGAACTCACAAACATGTCTGAGTGCAAGTCATGGGTGCAGCTTATAAGAAAAGTTCATCTGCCTTCTGACAGGTGATCCTGCAAAACACAGCTAGTCTCCTAAGCCTGTTGCTGTCCCCCACTATGGGCTCAAACGCTGCCTGCAGTGCTGCTTCTGTGCTTTGCTGCTCTTGGCCCTGCAGCAACTGTGCGTGGTGGGCTTTGTCACTACAGAGAGAAGACCTTGCCCACTTAGAGCTGCTGGCTTGGGGGTCACAGGGGTAATGCCCCCAAACATGCTTTTGTCATCACAACTAGAAGATCCAAAGCCTGAATTTCTCCAGGAAAGGGGCCTAGAAGACTGGGGTAACCCCAGCACAGCCACTTTATGGAGAAACCTGCAGTTTTGTGGTGTCCCCATTGGGAAGGAATGAAACAAGGCAGATGGATGCTATTGCTGAGAGTCGCCTGGTGACTGCAGAGGGGAGAAAGCCTCAAAGCAAAAGGACAGTGCAGCATTTGGGATGCAGGAGAGGGAATCTGGCCTGTGAGCCCCGTTACCTTGAGAGAGGAGCGATGGAGCCTTCCAAGGGCTCTATTTTCATGGCAGCATTGCATCCCTCTGAGAAGAGAGAGCTTTCTCTGAAAGCAAAGCTGAAGGCTTCCTTCTCACTGTTGATTATAGTGATAGTCTGGTGTACCTCATGCCCTGGGGAGAGAACAAAGCAGCTGCTGAAAACCTATGGTTCCTCCGGCCACCAGAGCACTTCTGCCCACTGTGAGCCCAGAAGGCAATCTGTAGCAAGGAGCATTGCCTGCAGCATGGCACGCTCAGGATGCCAACATGGAAACATACTTCTGACCTCCTGGGCTCCCCTGCATCACCCCCAAAACCCCTCTTGGGAACAGCCCCAACCACATGCCATGTCCTGGACACACACCTTCCCCCCTTCCCCTTCCTCATACACTTGGGTGCCAGGAGCTGGATGATCCGCTCAAAAGTGCCGTTTCCATTTCCAGCTTCCTTGTTGGAGCCTGCTGAGCAACTGGAGAGGTCCACATCTGAGGGTGTAAGGTTTAACCACGGTGCTCACCAATTAACAGCGACTGGAAATTCAGGTGGGATCTGTCCAGAGTCACTAGCGGCTCAGTGGTGTTGCCCATCAAGAGGAATGGGACTGAAATGCTCTGCTCAGGGACTGTAAAGGCCCAGAATGATTCTGTGATGCCCAGGTGCCCAGGGATGAATTCAAACTTCATCTGTAGGAGAAAGAGGCAAATGAAGGAAAGTTGCTGCCCTTGGCAGGAGAAGGGGGTGCAGTCTATACCACCCAGGAACCTCCTCCTTAGGTTGCTGTGAGCTCAGAAATAGGCTGCTGTGCCACTTACAGCCCAAAAGCATGGCAGATGTGGGGTACAGGGTGAGAACAGGTTCATGTCAGTTTGTTTACAGTACATTCATAGGTTTCTTCATGGTCTTGGCAAGCTCACAGTGAGATGGGATGCCCAGTCAGTGTAGCCATAGCCGGTGTTAAACTGGCACACATGTGACTGGATCTACCTTAATCTTCTGCACCCACCTCTGCTTGCTTCCTTGGCTGGATGTGACCTCTCTCTGTGTGGCAGAAGAAAGCCACCTGTTCCAGTGGGGCTTCAGGGTCTTGGCAAGTCCACTGGAAGGAATATGTGGAACTGGTTGGGTTCATAACCATAAAGGTCCTGGGAACACAAAGCAAAATGGACTACTAAGGTGGTGCTGGGACATTAGTGACTCTGTCCTGAAGCAGACATCAGGCACTGCCCATCCTGAACACTATCTGGAAGGAGTTATTTGATCCAGGGGAACAAGATTGGGAGCACAAACATTTCATCTGCTTTATAACGGCCCTGTCTGTTTCCCAGGTGGCTACAGATTTAACAGCTATCGACAAAGAAATTCACAAGGATATAGCCAGACTCTTGTGTGCTAAAATGATAAGATCCAGCAAAAATGGTAAAATCAAGTCCAGTAAGACTCCTTTGGAAGATGGTACTCTTGGTTGTGGTTGCAGCCTTCACTGACCATGTCTGACTGGTATCTCAAAGGAGCACGAATGTCCCAAGGATGCTCTTCAAAGGGACAAAGGTTGTACTAGCCATATTGCACAAGCTGGGGCTACGTGGTCCTCCCAGACCGACCCATACCTTACTGAAGAGAGGGAAAAAGAGAACAAAAAATGGGCCAGTTGGTCTTCAGTGACCAGCTTGTTTCAGTCCCAAAACAGGTGGCCAAGGGTCAGCAGATCACAGACAAGGTACAGATGTGCCCTGAGGCTTGGAAGAGCAGCTGGAGAGGTCTCTGGTTAAGAAGGGTGACCAGGAGATGGTCAATAGGAGAAGCCATGCCCACGCACTTACCTGCTGTGCCTGCCACGCACTCCAATTGCCTCAAACTCAATCACTCTTGTGTCGAGATCTAACATTGGTCCCTTCAGTCCCTGCAACTCTGGGATGTGCCTTTTTGCAGTGATGTAGTCAGAGTCTTTCAGCTCAAAGTGGCAAAGTGGCATCAGGCTTCTCCCCTTCACAGCCACCTCTGGGCCCTTCTGATTTGGCCTCAGGTTAGGAATACTAGGAAGAAAGGGATCAATATTAACCAGACTAACATTTGCAGCCAGCCAGCTGCTTGTTTATCTCCTTGTGCAGCATGCAGTGTTGTACCCTCTCTCTGTGCAAGCACTGATCAGCAAATCAAACACAACTGCACTCCCCACCACAGAGGCAGTGGAGGTGAAATGGCAGAAACAGAGACCAACTGCAGCACACAGGTTTCTATGTAGATAAGGCGGCCATGCTTGTCTGATAAGAAAGCATAGCTAGGGACTAGCTGGCCCCTTGACAACCTTTCTGGGTATCTCATTCCAGATTTTGCATCTCTCCAGGAGCTTAGTATTTCATACAGTGTTGTGTCCCCATGTCTCCATACCTGCTTCTACCAAGACTGGATGATCATTTGTCTTTGCTCCTGTATGTTGGTTGCTTCTGCTGCCTCGCTGGGGCTGGCTGTCCCCAGGTCTGCACTCCCACCCACCCCAATCACAGGCAATACCACAACTACCCAGCAGCAGCACAAGCTGAAAAGTGCCTGGATGTTTCCTACCTGCAGAGCATACGGCTCTCAAAGTCCCCCACATACACCGGAGAGAACTTCATCTGGAAGAGCTGCTCCTGACCTGCAGGGATGGTGCCGCTGTGGGGCTCGACAGAGAATGGTGGGGTGGCACTGACGGTGTTCAGAGACGAGCTCAGGGAGGAAGAGACCTGCTCCAGAGCGTGGCCCAGCTGGCTCAAACAGCAGCTAGACTGGAGCTGCACAGAGGCACCAGAAGTGGAGGTGAGGAAATCCCCTGCAAGAAAGGAAGGGGTTATAGCACAACATCTTCTTTCAAGGAGAAAATCCTTTGTTCCCAGTAACTCTGCCTCCTGCTGCAGGTGGACAGAAGGGAGCTGGCATGCACTTGGAGCACCTCTGGCCAAAGGCTTGCAGCAGGACTCCCAGTGAAGCACAGGGAGAGTGCATGGTTCGCGTTTTGCTTCTGTGTAACTGCCCGCTGAATCGTAATCCCAGAAAGTCCTGGGGACAGGTGGAAGTGAGAACAGGCAGATGGAAGGTGAGAGGGCAGCAAATACCATGACAAGGCCCAGCAGAGACCCAGAGAGCTGCCTGGATTAAAACACGCCACTGAACATCACTCCTTAAAGATACTGAGATGACAGACAGGCAGCTACGTGTATGCAAATTCAATGGACCCAGGACTGAAGCCAACTGCTTCACTCCAGGCTATTAAACTCTCTCCAGCTCCAGGACTGGGGACATAGATGCAGACTTCTGCAGAATGGTTTCCGGCCAGCTTTCATTCCCAAACCATGTCCCAAAACTAACAGTAGAAATGTCTATGTACAGCCCCTGGATAAATCTCTGGGTGCCATTTCATGCCTCAGTGCAGCCAGCCTCAGCGCTCAGCATTAAGGATGTGTTCATTAAGGACAGTGTTAAGTCCTGCTCCCCTGTTGCCTGCAGAATTGCTTGTTACAGGTGGTGGAGAGAAGGCCTTGGGGAACAGCGCTGCGCTGACTTTTACACCCTTTCCCCCCTTCCTCTTTGTCGGGCTTTCATAACCAACAGCCCAGCAGGCCAGCTTCAGCACAAGTGTGCCCTGTGCTGGGGAAGAGCCAGCACCAGGACCCACAGGGGAGGGAGATCTGCACGGTCAGGGCATCGAGGACTTTGGCTGAGTTCTCCCATCTTGACCATGAGGCAAGCTGCCTGTGCTAGGAAACGCACAGATTGCCAGCTCTCCTCTCTCCTATTTCTGATGAGACCTCTTGGACACGCAGCCCTGTTTCCCGGTGGAACCACGCTGATCCCCAGCAGACGGTGTGCTCAGACATTGCCGCGTTACTGCGGGTTGGTGAGTCACGGCCCTGCCCTTGAGCTCCAATGGCTGCTGTGAGCAGGGGCTCTGCCCTCACAAACACTCCCCTGCCCGAGTTAGGAGGGTTAGTTTTCGACAGTGATGTCACATTTTCCCTGGATTGGGAAATTGCACACAGACAGAGACTGTAGGAGGCACTGGCCTGTCACCCCTACACAGCCTCTGAGAAACTGCTAGGCTTTGATGGAAAACAGGCCTTGGAAGATAGATAAGAAGCTGTTAAGTTGTGCCAAGGTGGCAGGGAAAAACAACGGACAGCTGCAACACTGAACTGTGGAAAAGTACTAAACTGTGAGAAGTTACCGTCCTGTGAACAGCGCCTGAGGGAGCAGGGGATTGGTCTGCACAGCCTGTGATAGAGTGGTCTAGTGCTGCTAGGAGGAAGGATTGATGGCTGTCTAATTGATGATTTGCTAATTATGCAGTAAGAGCTTTGGTGAGAGCATAAATATGTACTAATGTAATAATAAAGGGTCTTTCCTTTTGCACTTTAATGGAGAGTCCATACCTCAGTTGCCACAGTGACTGCAGGTCAGCTAACTCACTGTTACACCATCGTTTTTCCCCAGTCTCAGAGATTTCCCAAAGAGGTGCCCCAATGTCCCCCTTCCCAGTCCTGACCCAGCACATGGCTCTCGCCCAAGCCAGGCTCAGCTCCCGTGCAGAGCTCAAGTGTCACAGCACAAACAGGAGGCTCTGAAAGGTAGAGAGGGGGCAGGGAAAAAGTCTCCAGCTGCAGCTGGGAAGATGCTGATGAAAGTGGACAACTGCACAGGGACAAAAAAGCAATTCATGTTTTGGGGGGAAGCAGCATGGTCATGTCCCCCAAGCCCTCAGCTGCCAATCAAAATGCCCTGGACACCCCGAGCTGTCACAGTCCTTACCATCTAGACAGGGTGGGAGCAGTTCCCCAGCATGGCTCACTGCCTTTTCATCCTCCATGGCCACCATCCAGGTGTATTCCAGGGCCACATTCCCTGTATTGGACAGCTGGAAACTGAAAATCAGGGAGTTAAAAAAAAAAAAAAAAAGAAAAAGCCTAATAAATACAAAGTGAGAAGTCACTGTGTGGTGGGCTCCTGACAACCCTTTCTTTATGCTGAGTAGCCTCTTCTTTCCCAGACAACTCTGCCACATCTAGATTGCTGCCCTGGGCTGACCCAAAAGTATTTCCGAGTTTGGAATTTGCAGAGAAAGAGCAGACATGGTGCCCAGGAGACTTATTCTGGTCTTATGTCTCTGTTTCATGTTATTTTGACTGCAAACCCATCCTTGAGCAGATATGGACAGGCACTGTGCAATGGTAACAAAACCACGGCTGTTCTCAGCAGAAAGGCACAGCAGAATTGAACCTCTGCTGGCAAGCCTTGGTGTGATGGCAGCCACCATCTCCTGCTTGGCTTTTGTGTGCAGAGATATGGGCCCCAGCACCCAGTCACAACTTGGAAAGGATGAAACAATAAAGGATTTGTTTAAAGGGATGAACAACAGGTGAGACTGAATGTAAAGCCCTAGAAGGGACTCAGGTCCACATGTGGGAGATCTCCAGGCCCTGGGATGTGCCAGATTATATGTGGAAGCTGAAACCTCAGACTCAGCAGGCAGAAGCATCCCCCTCCAAGGCTGATCAGCCTGCTAGAAATCAGAAGAGATTTAATAAGTGGCTGAGCAATAAACATATCAGGGTAACCTTAGCTGGCACAGGACCATGAGTAGAAGGAAAAGCAGTGGCCACTGGTGAGCACAGCACAGCTCTGGGGAAGCAGACATGGGTCAGCCCTGGGCAAAGGCAGCCCCCACTCATGGGTCCCTGCCTGGCCTCTAGCACTCACGCGAACGTCCTTGTCTGGAAGAGCAAGGTCTCCTTGAACTCAATTGTGTCCATCTTCAGCTCGAACTCGGCATAGTCAACCACAGCACTGAGGTGAAGCTCCACCTCGCGGATGCTCTCCTCCAGGACAGTGTGAGCTGGTTCTGGGTCAGTCTCGATCACCTCCAAATAGGAGAGGGAAGAATCACTGACCAGAGTCCAGAAAGCCAGGCTGAGCAGGGAATCTTCTGGCCTCTAAAATCAGCCACATATAGGGGCTAGAAAGGACCATTCCCATTTACTTCCCTCGAAAGATGACCAAATTTGACCCTTCTGCTATAGTGTTTGTTTCTACCTACTGATCAAGGCAGTCACCACCATGACTGTGAATACACCCATGGAGACTATGACTGGGTATCAGCCCCTGCGTTTCAACCCTGTAGTGTGTCTGACCCTTTTCCTGACCCCCTATAGATCTAGCAGGCTTCCAAATCAGGATTGAGTTCCCTTGCTGGAGCTCTGTGGATGGAGAACCCCAAGACTGAACAAACTTAGAAAGCACCTTTTCCTTCTTGTCTCAGGAGAAAGTGCTTTCCAGATGTCACGTGCGGGGCAACAGCCACACTCGCGGTGGCTGTGGATGGAAATTTTGGAATGGGAGTGAACTCACTAGAAAAGTCTCTGACTGCTGATGCTCTGATGGGGAAGAAGTTCAGTTTACAGGTCTTAAAATGATTCAGAAACTAGAGAAGAACCATCATCCAAGATAAATATGTCTGGCAATGATAGTAAAAGCAAGAGTTTCTGGAGATGACACTTCTCTGGATCCTGCGTGACTGCCATACAGTACCTGGGCTGCTCCATAATGAGACATCCCACACCATAGAGAGACCACAACCAGAACCTCTGATACCAGTGTAGGCAGAGCTCAGAGCTCGCCCACAGCGTGCTGGTGGGCTAGCCCGCACACACAGAACAGCACTGGTGTTGCTCTCCACTTCAGAACAAGAGACAGAGCACAGTGGATTTAACTCCTTGTTGGTGAAAAGGTACTGAATCAGATGAAGAAATTTTAACACCATAAAATGATTCATCATAAAATGTGACCTCCCATTCAACACAGCTGCAACACTTCCACTTTTGGCAGAGACCAATAGTTTGCAAGTGGCTAAACGTCTCTTGTCAAAAAGACTTCCCCATCTTGTGCGGGTGTATCAGGCCACCGTGCATCCACCCCTCCCCTGAAATGCACTGCTGGTTAACCACACGGGTGGGTTAAATGTCAGGAGGTGGCAGCAGCTGCTTAGCCAGCAGAGATGGCGGCCTGCTGCTGTCAGCTGTTCTTCTTGTGGATGCTTGGTTAGCTTTTGCTATTGTGCTTCTTACCTTCTTCTTGACAGGCCACATGGCTGCCGGGCCCCGCGCGGCATCCACCCACTTGACAGTGCGCAGACAGTCGTCCCAGTCGGGAACCTGCTCCGGCGGCAGCTGCAGAGCGATCCGAGCCACCTTACACCTCACAGGGTGCTTTTGGAAGGCGACCGCGACGTCCGATCTCAGGGTGACTGTGATGTTCTTAGCACAGCCAGAATGGAGGTGTCCCACCTAGGCAGAACCAGAGAGCCAGAACAAACTAATCCCTGGGCAAGGGCAGGGCTGACAGCGGAGGGATGGATGTGCTGAGCAGCTGTGCCAGGAATTTGCATCTTACTGTGTATCTGTCTGAGGTTTGATGAAGAACAAACAAAAGATGCCACCTCCCGTAACATGGAGCCTTTTCTGTGGGGGTGACAGCCCTTCCCCAGCAAAGCCACGGATCACAGCTCTACATGGCTCCAAGCTGAGCTCTCACTGGTCCGTTGGGGACTCCCTGTGAGCTCCTGGGAACCCATCGGGCAGTGCTTGAGCACTGGGTAAAGGCAGAGCCATCCAAGCTCACCTGGGGGGAGAAGTGAAACGGGGCACCTGCCAGCCACTCAAACCGCATCGCCTCTGCCCTGCTGCGATTGGTGATCGTGAAGCTCATGGTGTAGGGGGTCCCGATGTGACAGTCCCCAAACTGGATGTGATCCACTCTGGCATCTGTTAAGAATGAGAGCAAGGGATCTAAGCGTGTGGTGAGGTCCATCTGACCCCCCATCCACAGACACGTTATGTCCAACTTCCTTGCTCCAAGCCTTCCTCCTCCTGGGAGATGCAGATGCTTCCCATCCTAGCACTTTCAGGGAAACACCCTGACACGTCCCTAAAGACGTGGCTGCAACTGTGCAGAGACACGCAGTACAGCCTGCACTGCCCCTGTGCACACAGCTGCCACACTCACAGACCACCAGCTCTGCCGGGTGACACCACGGGCCTGCTCATATAGAGGACACAGACTACCATGCACGGTCTTCATCTCCACAGTATCCCGTGGGCGAGCAGACCTCCCTTTAGAGATACTCATCTCTGACCCTTCCCTGCCAGCCTGCAAGCTTCTCCCTTGTCAGAGGATCTTCCCTTTGTTGTCAAGTGTGGCTGCTCTCCAGACTACAAAATGCAACAGGATCTGTCTGCTAAGGCTGGACCACACCTGCACCAGCACAAGGTGAGCAGAAATGTGGCTTTTCCTATTCCTTGCTCCATCTTGTCAGCCTCTCCTCTCTTACCCTCAATTATGTCTTCCTCCAGATAGCCCTCAGTGTTCTCCTCCTTGCTGTTTGCCATTAGTACATGGATGTTATCTAGCGTGAAGTCATCCTCATAGCCTTCACCCACCAGCTGAATGTTGGTTTCTTCGTAGGGATTGTCCACCACTGACAGGTGGATCCTCCCTTCCACACGTTGGGCCAGGGTGGGTTTGAAAACCACGTCAAACTCTGCTGATTCCCCGTGATGCAGGATCAGGGAAGCAGTGTGAGGCTTCCTCTCTGCACAGAATGGAAGTCAAGTCAGACACAAGTGATACAGCTGTAGAGAGGAAATATTCCATGGGGTGTAGGAGGAATAAGAGGTTGAAACCCAGCTGTCTCTAAGCACAGGTTCTCCCACCGATGGTTCCAGACCTTTCTCCTATGGTGTCAAGACTGACACCACTGTGCATATCACTGTCTTACCCTCAGGGTAACACCCAGCTCTCACTCAAACTGCACCCAGACAGCTCCTGCTATACATAAAGCTGAGTCAGAGGGTGGTTTTGGCTTCTGTTCGCTGGCTGTGGGCTCAAGGGCTGCCTCCGTTCAAGCTGGTAACTTCCCAAATGCAGCAAAGCCCTCAGACAGTCCACTGAAGTGGTGATAGTCCCCCATGACTCAACCCACCATGTTCAGAAGAACACAAAAACTTCCTACAACTTGTTAGGAGGAAACCCTACAAAGCGTCCACTTGAAATATAGGGGTACAGAGAGCGCCAGAAAGAAACTGTGTCTAACATCTAGCTGCTGCTTGGCCAAGGCCAGAGCAGGGCACACATCTTCCCAGTGACTGACCACACTTGATGGCTATTGAATTTACCTTCCCCAGAAGCGTCCTCCTCCATGCCTGCAGCTTGGTAGATGCAGTGTGTGGTGGACCTGGCTTTCAAGAAGAAAACTCCCCCTTCATCCAACAGGTCTATCATCAACTAAGAAAAGGGAATACAGAGCACAACCCCACTGGTGTGGGTACAGGATGGCATGTGGATTGACACCACACCGCTGCTGGTCCAGCATGGGGAACCCAGCACGCTTCCCTGCTTCAAACACAGCTCTTAGCACAAAGGTTAAGTAAAATCAGACAGGAAAAAAATGTTCAGAGGCACTGGAATATAATTATAAGCAAACAGGACAGAAAACTTAAAGTAAGGAGCAGAATTAAACTACAAGAGTGTTTAATTCAAATGTAGTAAAATGGGATCAAATACAATCTAATGTAACTAGGACATCACATGTGCCCAGGTGAGAAGAAAAACATGAGAAAGGAGATGGGGGAAAAGTACTCCACCAACTTTCTTGTGTTGTGTTTAACTGAAAAGGACAGATGAGTCAGAAAAAAACACATTTCCAAGAGGAACTCCCTTCCTGCAAAGTAGAAATCAGTCATTCTCCCATGTTTTCTGGAACCTTCCCAGACCAGAGCACCCCCTGAGCCAGTCCTCACCTGGACAGGTACGATGCCACCGTTATGAAGGACCAGGGGGAGGTTTTCTGAATCACCCAGCAATAGCTTCTTAAAGAGCAGCAGAGGGTTCCCGCTCTTATTGTGAAGGACTGGACGCACGACTGTCACCCGAGGCAGATTCCCATCCCCACTGATATTGAAGGTCAGGCTCTGGGCTTTAACTGCTGCAGGGCTGCAGGAGAGGCAGAAATCATTAGGGCTGGTACTAACCCATTCCCCACTCTGTAAGCAATGAAGCAAGTGCTGCCCACTGTGTTTTCCCTGGCTGGTGCTCCTGTACCCCATGACACAGCTCTCCCTCACCCCTCTCCTCCCAGTCCTATCAAGGCCATTCACAAGAGGAATCTGCTCTGAAGAACCAGAGCCTTCCAGAGTAACAGTTAAATATCATTTCACTTCATCGAATCATACAGCACAGCATGTAAATAATGAGGCAACAGATGAGATGTGGCAAATTTGCTGGCATTGGTGATGAGATACATATGCAAAAAGCACAAGCAGAGCATGGAAACAGTATAAAAGCAAGAAAGGAAAAATAAGTAACACCATCAGTAAAGATTATTTTCAAGGACACTAAAAAAGAAATTGCTTGTTATGGCAGAAAGCTGACTTATCTCATCCCAGTTCAGCAACTAAAGGGCTGGGGAAAAGCAGGTCAGAGCACCGGTACATGGGTCCCAGGACAGAGGAATTGGGTTCCTCTTTTATAAAGGGTCCAATTGCTCCTTTAACATCAATTATCTTAATATAGCCCCAGCAGTCTTATAGGATCATCTCATTTTAACATAAATAAGGAGGATATAATGCCTGCTGACTTGCTGGCACAGAAGCCACTTCATCTAATCCTCTGGCCTCGGAGAGCCCCAGCTCAGCTGTTGCACATCTCCATTTTTTTCTGATTCAGTAACTTCCAGTTTGCTACCTAATATTACACTGTCCTCACAGTTACTCCCACAGGCTAAACTAAGACTCTTACTTTTCTGCTCTGCTGTGTCTAGTAGTTACTGCTTCCTATAGGATCTAATGCTAAGCACCCTGCCTAGGCCTACTGAAAGCGTTAGGGTTAACGAGGGCCTTTGGTGCTCCCAGAGGAGAGGCAGCTATTAGAAAGGTCACCCCCAAGGTTTCCCAGGGTGAGTTACCTTGCCTGGGCATCAAGGGAAGCCTCAAAAGTGCACTGGTAGTTCTGCATTGTTTGCGGAGTGAAGGTCACCGTGGCAAAGGCGTGGGAGTGGCTGGGCACACACATCCAAACAGGATCCACCTTGAAAATGTCACTAATGTGGCTGTTAAGCTTGGGGGAACACACAGAGCGGTGTTAGGAGGAAACATCCTTCAATGTGATGCAGTCTTGTTCATCTGTGCATCGTGGGAACAGCCTCGACAGCGTGTCTTCTTCCCTGGGTGGGCTCCTTCCATCCCAGGGGGCGACTCTAAATTGGTGCTGACCTTGCACAGGGAGCTGCCATAAAGGCAATCTGGGCAGCCACCCCAGCACCCCTGGGAGGTGGGGGCTGCATGGAAAACCCTGCAAATAACCTAGAATTGGCCTCTAAAGAGAAGGAAAAGACCAGGGAGCATGAGCAAACAGGCTGCTTTGAGCCCTGGCACATCAGCCCAGTAAAAGTCCCCCTCTGAGTGTGCTTTCAAGAGATACTCAGGAGGGTTCAAGTCTCCCAACCAGAGCGGTGAGCCAAAACCTTGCTTGAGACATGCTGAATTCAACCCAACAGTCACCCCAGCACTGCTGCTCTCCCCTGCAGTTTGACCTGCACGGAGGTGGGCTAGTCCAGGCAGGAGGAAGCCAGGAATCTGTGGGACGAGGCAGGCTATCCCCCAGCCTTCAGAGAGCACCAGTCACCTCGCTCTCTTGACCTTACCTGCCCGCGGATGGGTTTGATGGAGAGGACCACATCACAGGGCACTTTGTCCACATTGCGGATCTTGAAGCGAGCTGTGGCCCGGTGCCCAACCAGAACATCAGTGAAGATAAATTTGTTCTCATCTGTGATGAACACACCCTTGTCTTGCACTGTCTGGAGGATGTGGCAGAGGTTGATGTTGCTGCAGATTCGATGCTCCTCAAAGATGGACTCTACATTGTCAACCACAAATGCTACAAGCAGACCAGAGGGAGGGCTGAGGATGGAGAAGCCTTCCTGCGGAATTTACCTGGACCCCGCTGGCCTCTCAGAAGCCTTGATAAGCTCTTTCTGGCCAGGTCACTGAAAAACCCAACCTTGGCTGAGGGGGTTGGCTGTGAGGATGGAACTCAGTCACCCTCAGTCTTAGAAGGCATCGCTTTCCTTTCACCCTTTCATGCATCCCTCCCAGACTCTCCCCACTGGCCAACTTGAAAAGGACTGGAACCTCTGAGGATTTTAAGATGGGACTTCAGGGTTGGGGTGCCTCTCTATCCAAGCAGGAAGTTTAGGTGCTGATCAGCAGCAGGTCTGGCCGTGAGAACCTGTGGACAGGGCGTACCTGGGAAGCAGGACTCGGCAAACAGCGTATAGGGGATGCCAAGGGGATTGTCCTTGGGGTCTCTGTCGCTGATATCGATGGACAGATGCTCCTTGCATGTCCCTGGTCCCTTTGCGTAGCAATCCACTGTGATCACCTGCTGGCCCCCAGGAGGAATGGAGCCAGAGCCAGGGTACACCGTGAACATGCCTAGCGTGAAGCGAGCCTGCAGAGAGTCCCAGGAGAGGCTGATGTCTATCAGCCCTGCCCTGAGCACCCCCTCAGCAAGGAATATGTCACTCCTTGGCCTTTAGCCAGGCCCAAGAAACTAGTCCCAGGGGAGGAGGAGATGACTCCATGGCCCAAAGGCAGCCCCAGAATGAGATGAACCAGCCAGGATGAGCTGTGGGCCTGTCCTGAGTAGCACAGAGAAAGGAGTTTGGGTGTTAAGGGTGAAGGTGGTAGCTGGGATCCTTCAACCTCCAGTGATAAAACAGGAGAGCAGAAATAACTGTGAGGAATGATGGGAGAGAGGGGACTGGGAAAGAGAAAAAGAAAGGTCATCTGATATCTATGGACTGGGAGTTCAGACAGGGATGTTCCACCCTTGTGGTATTCACAGACATATTTTGGCTGGCAGCTACCACACACAGAACCTGCTCCCCTCTCTCGACCCCGTAACTCCAGGTCTGAGACAGAGCACGGGACTGTCAGTGGGACTGAGCAGCTCCTGCCTCTGCCTGTGGTGGGGAGGTGACAGACCTCCATCACACGGACCGTGTCCCATCACCCCCCTGGGGGGTGATGAGACCCCAGCCTGGGCACAGCAGCATCCTCCACACCACCAGCAGCGGCATGCCTTAGGGAACAGGAGCCACCCACCTGCATAAAGGGGTTTGCATCCTTCTGCAGTGAGTGCTTGCTTTGCTCGACCGAGGGAGTCATTTTGTTTAAGTTCTCACTCTCATGGGAGCCGGCAGATTTCCTTCGATGTGCACTGAGAGGAGAAAGCAGAGAACATGGTGCTGAGCTCCACCTGCCTTTCTCTGGGGCCAAAGCTGGCCTTCCTCCCCATGGAGCAAAGCCCTCCCGCCCCCAGAGGGCTGCCTGCACCGCCTAGTGCTGTAGCTTATGGATAGATCAGCTTCATCCCCAGCTTTGTCCTGCACAGGGGGATACCGAGGCATTTTTCTGCTCCCTGTTCACAAGCCAGCGATGCAGATGGACAATAACCCAGGTGTCCTGGCTGCCTGTCACACACCAGCCATGCTGTGGTGTCTACTCAGGCAGGCAGGGTGGTGCAGGTTTTCTCTCACCTTTTCCTTGGCGACACAGCTGCATCCCGATCTGCTCTGTAGATGAGGAACTTGAAGTCAAGGACGCCTTTGTTCTCCATCATGAAGGTGCAGGTTTTTCTGCTGCCAGTCACCAGAGCACCAAAGTTGATGAATGAGGCAGGGTAAATGCTGTACTTGCTGAACACAGCTGTTGCTGACACCCTCACTGGGATGATGGCGATGGTTTCGCCTTCCTCACAGATGCTGGGCTCAATCACCTGCAACCAGAGGAGGGGTTGGTAAATACAGCAGACAGCCTCTCTGTCTCCTGACCCCATCCCTGGTCCTCAACAGCTCACTCTCCCTGTTTAAATGCCTCCTCCAGAGCCAGATTTTCAGCTCCACTTAGGAAATGTCACAAATGCTTTCTGAAAGACTTTGTTGTATATGTAAGAGAGACGATGCCCCAGCTAAACCCAGAAGGCACGTGTCCTGCTTACACTCCCAAGACATGGTGTGCTAGCACTGCCTGGCCCAGGCCGCTCACCTGGCAGTGCAGGATGGGTTTGTCCTTGATATCCATTTCCAGCTTGGGGTGGAAGAGCAGCTGGACCTGCACAAGGTGCTTGGAGACAGTCAGCACGCCCTTCTGTGGCTGGACAGTGAAGTGGGATGCCAAGTCAGGTATGTTGGTATCTGCAGTTTCCAGCTTGAAACTGGGGAGAAAGGGAAGGAACAGAGATCTCTGCAGTTAAAAGTCCACCAGCACAGCCGGGACTTTGCATAGGACCATAAAAAAGACAAAAGGGAAAGAGTCCAGCTGTGCTTGGGGAATCTCAGATCCTGACACAGAGCACAACCACCAGTGCTGCAAGCTAAACTCGACACTGAATTTTTTCACTCCCTTCTTTAGAGTGTCATAAAGAAAGGAGCTGACCCCCAAAGGAAGGCAATGAATTTCAGCAGTGAGTGGCTTAAATTTCCCCATCTCACTTTCTGCTTCCTGCTGAGCTGTGAAGAACTGCTGGTGTGTGGTTGGATTCTCTATTAAAATATTTGAGATCTGAGAGCCCAGGCTTTGTATTTACCCAGGCCAGGAGGTAGCCAGCATGGGAAAAGGTTCTAGCCATGGACAGAAGAAGAATGCAGGCCTGGGCAGATGGTGGCACCATGCATTCACAGACTCACCTGTATGCAATTTCGTACTTCCCTTTGTTCTTCAGAGTCAGCACTTGCTTTGTCTCATCCAGGACCTTAAGGATTCCAAAATCCACACTGCCATCTGCACCTGCAGGAAACCCCCAGAGCCAGGTAAGAAACGGTGATTATTTCTGAGCTGCTGCAGACTACACCAAGTGACAAGATACATTTCAGAGCCCCCAAGTCAATCTGTTCAGGAGGTCGCACACCTCAAAGCTGGGAAGTGAGAGAGTGTCTGTGCCCTGACAGTGCTTCATTCCTCGCAGCATGCAGGATATGTGCTTTACGTATCTGTGGCACACTTCTATGCCATGCTAACCCATCCCGTCCCATGCCATGCCATGCCATGCCAGGCTAGGCCAGGTGGCTTTGGTTGTCCACCTGACAAGACAATGCAATGCACCTGGACTACTTTGGTCTGGGGGCATCCACTGACCTTTAGAAATGTTGATGCTCAGAGCAACATCATAGCCCTCCGCAAGGATTTGGATATTTTCAACCTGAACAATTCCCAGCACATTTTCTGCATCTGAAACCTGAGGCAGCAAGAAACAAACACCCCTTAGACCATTCTCAAATTCTTTTGGTGGACAACACAGGAGTCCTTGTCTCTGTTGGCTGCTTCGACCATGGTCTCCCCTACTTGACAAGCACTTGTGGACTCCCAAGCCTTCCTAACCTGTTCACCTCATGGGCTGACCCAGCAGGATTCTGCTGCAGTAAGAAGCCCTGTCAGCCCCACTGTGCACTCCTACAGCAGGGAACGCTGCTGCTAAAGCACCCTGGGAAGCACAGTGACGCAAAACAACCACAAGAAGCATGAGGTGTCCCAGACAGGTGGCATTGACAATCAACTCTTCAATCACTCATCATCCTCACTGAAATGCAGCCCCTAAACCACGGGGAACAAAATCCCAGGGCAAGAGCATGTTGCTCTGAATTAAGTGCCCCAGAAGGACTCCACGATGGGTGCAGGGAGCGTGACAAAGTCTGTACAACCAAAGGACAGCATTCAACCACACACAGCAGCAAGGTGGTTGTAGCATGGGCTCGGCGCACAGCCTCGTAACCCAGGCGTAAGCCCCGCAGTGCCCGTGCCTGGTTAACTGGGGTGATGTGGATGCTCAGGCACGCACCATGTGTTCTGGCAAACCCCCTCTGAGGCAGCAGAAGTTGGTCTCAGAGCACCCTTATGCCCGTCAGGTGCATCCCTTCCTGACTCCACAGCATACTTGCCCCATGAAGCTCACCTACAAGAGCACCCCAGCAGACACTTAGTTTCCACAACATTGTCCTGCAGTGAGAGTCCCTTGCTGCTGAGGGACTGCCCCCCCGGCAATGCCCATAGAAAGGAATCTCATGAAGGCTCATCCTTTGGCCTCTTTGCAGGGTACCCTTCAAGCACAGTCCCTACCCCGAAGAGCACTGGGCTGATCTCTCTACTCTGCTCTGCCAGGGTGGGCACAGTCCCCCTCACCTCCAGTCGGATCGTCTTCTTAATGCTGAGAGCCTGTGTGGCCTTGAAATACAGATGCACGCCAAACTCCGTGTGGGGACCAACGATGCCCTCCTCTTGTGACACAGAGAAGTCTTCACCGAGGTTTTCCAGCCCACTGAGACGCCAGGCCACAGGCAGTGGGGTGCGGTTTTGCAGGACCAGGATCTTGCTGTCCCTCCTGCGGAGACAGGAAGATACTCAGCACCAGCTGCTTGACAGTCCTGATAGCCTTGCAGTGGAATGCAACTTGGAGAAGCCCTATCTAGTGTCTGAAACCACAGTTAAATGCTTTCTCTTTGTCACAAGTCTCCAAGGTGAGGTCCCAGAGGAGAGCTGGGTGCTAAAAGTGTAACCAAGAGAAGGGAGATCAGGAGCAGCTAATGGACACTCTCAGAACCAGCAGACAAGATACAAATGCATCATCAGGACGCCCATCAGCAGCATTGCTGGGGGCTACAGAGCTTGCGACTGCCATGGGACACCCAAGCCAGCACGGAACAGTGAGCAACAGACCAGGAACTGCTGGGGGAAAGAGGAATGTGGGCCCAGACTCCAATCGGAGCGGCTACACAGCCAGCAAGAGAAGCTGTCAGGGAGCTCACTGCCAGCTCTCGTCCCGGCAGCGTGGCCACGGGAGGACTGACCTGTGCAGAAGCAGCTTGTCGAAATGCACCTGCTTGGGGCTGACCCCCAGCTCCACCTGCACCCCCTGGCAGCACAAGCGGAAGGTCACTGGCTCTGGGTTCCCCTTAATGTGGCAGATGAGGTTGTCTTCCACAAGGCCAGCTGAAGTGGGGTACGCCCAAATGCTCAGCTCCTAGCCCCGTCCCCACAAAAAGAAATACAGAAGAGCATTCAGTGAGCAGGAGGAACAGCTCCTGGGCACTTCAAGCAGTGTCCACCCTCCTTGCCCATCTCCTACCTGCTTCTCGTTAGCCTTCAGCCTCATGCTGGGAGGGTCTAGAAGGAATGTGTCTGCTTTGAGATCATGCTCAAAGGAGAAGTGCACCTCTGCTTCCAAGAGGGTGACGTTGCGGATGGTTATCTTCTCACAGTTGCTGGGAAAGTGCTTCGCCTTGTACCTGTCCGCAAAAAGGGAAAAGGCTGCAGAGGAGACCGTTGCCTTTATCACACCTCGAGGAGAGCACCGTGTCCCAGCAGCGGGAGGCTGCACTGGAGGATCACAGGCTAAGAAAAAGGACTGCTTTCAGGGGCATACTGCATGGTATGTATGCTCAGCCTTGCATTAATTTGACGTCCACCCCCATACTTGGTGCCTCCACCCCAGAAGCGTGAGGACGCACAGGCCACTTAAAGAACATTTTATGAAATCTACATTCAGAGGTGCCTGGAAAAATAAAAGCACGCCAGGCATATGGGTTCTTCCCCCTTCTTTGCTGGGTTTCCTTCCCTGCATAGTATCATAAAGAAATGTTTTTCAAAAGAGGTTTTAAAAATAGTTTAGCTTATCACTTTCAAAAAAGTCATGAGACTGCCTTGTCTTTCATGGGTTAGCTCGAAGTCTGAGGGGAGGAAATAGAAAAGATTAATTCCCAACAGAAATGCTAAATTTAAAAAGTGTCCCTTCTCTCAAGTGTGGAACAGAATTTGAAGTTAAAGAGTTAAAAATGCAAACAGAAACTTGAGACCATTCATCAGCCTGGCTAAAGATTCTCTTTTATTAAACTGTTTTGATTTAATTTCCTTGGGTTGTCAAAATACCTCTAACATTCCAGAACTCCCATGAAGATAAGAACTTAATTTCTAATTAAAAAAATAAAACCAACAAAAATCCCACAATGTTAAAAATAAAAATATGCCAGCAATCACAATGACCACTCTTTTAGGCAGATGTTATCCAGCAGTGAGGATCAGGAAAATGTAAATCCTCATTTTTATTCCTTTTCAGGTACCGCACCTCCCTCCTCATACTGGCAGGTCAAATCATAAAGGCTTAATAATTTTACAGATTAACAAATGGTTTACAAAACCATCAGCAGAGTAATTGCTCATTCAGTCTACCCATAGAGCTCAAAGCACTTAAAAAACACCACAGTGTTCATTTCATAGGTGGTGAAGCTGAGGTTTGGAGGGAGAATAGAAGTTGCCCCAGGTCACCTTCAGGCTGGAAGCAGCACGTGGCTCTGGCCACCAAGGCACCCCCGAGGTAGGAAGATCAGCTCCATCTCTCCCCAGATCCTCCAAGACTCCTGTGCCTCTTATCTGCTCACATTCACACATCCCTGGCCCTTCAACCCCATGCAGCTCCCAGGTCTCTGCCTGGGCCTGCCCTGAGTTGTGCCCCTGGGACTGTGTCTCTGAGCATGGCCATGAAAGCCCAAGGCCCTGGAGATCCCATCCCAATGTCTCACTCCACGCAGGTAGCGCATCAGGATGCTTGCTCAGAGCGGGGAACACGTACCAGTCTCTTGACTTCCCACACAGCAGCGGTCCGAAGTGGAATACGCCCGTGTTCATGACATACTGCTTGAAGACGATGTCATCATCCGCCTTGCTCTTCCTCCAGCGAGAAAACACCAGCCTGGGCAGAGAAAATGTGGAATGAGGAGCTGTGAGATGCTCTAAGTAGAAAACCTGGTCAGAAAGCCATAACCCTCATTAGTGACTGAGGTATCAGTACTGATTCCCAGCTCCAAGCACAGGAAGAGATGCTGGGCGGCTCAGGCAGCATGCTCTGCCTGAGCCAGAAGGTCACTGGGACACAAGGGGCAGCCCTGGCTCTGAGTGCAGGGGGGGAGCAGTGTGGGAGGCTCTCATGCCCCAGCCTTACCGTGGGTCCTGGCTGATGGTGGGATACAGGCAGGTACCCCTGCAGTGCACCTGGTACAGGCGGTTTGTCCCCAGCACCTCAAAATGCAGCGTCTGGTCAAACTGCCCTGGCACTGTGGAGTTGAATTGGACCTTCAGTTCCACCTCACCGTGGGCAGGCACTATCCACCGGCAGCTGCTCAGCCTGGCAATGAAAGAAGAGGCTTCAGACATTGCTAACAAGCAAATGGGAGAAGGAGGAGGCTCACGGACTTGCCTTCCCATGGAAGCACTGGCAGACGGTCCCTACAGAGCTGGGGATGATGGACCCCATTTGACAAGATGGACGGGAAGCAGAGGGATCACCTCCTCTCTCACAGCTCACCTGACGGATCTCCCCGGGGATGGGACCATGTCCACGTCACTTTGGTGCACCTCCTGGGGCCGTTTGTGTGCTCCCGTGCCCGGCACCTGGAGACCTCTCCTGCCCCGGTTGGAGCTCCGCTTCTCCCTCACAGCCTCCTGTCTGTCCACGGCTTTCTCCTTCCCCGTCTGGCCCCTGCTTGGCGTGACCTGCTCCTCTGACACCTTCACACCAAGGCAGAGAGGAAAGGGAGAGAGGTGAGACCTGCCCTGAGACATCCCCTTCCTGGAAAGAAAGCTGCAGGTTTGTTAACAGACAGGAGAGAGAATAACCACCAACCACCTCTGCCCATGGACTTGGTCTTCCTTAAAGGACTTTGTTTTGCCTACAACACCCCTCCTTGCCAGGACCCTCTCCTCAAGGGAAGTTGAAGGTTTTCAGCTGATTTTTTCTCTCTCATCTTACAGAGCTGCCCTATATCTCAAGCAGAGCTGTCTCTTTTAAACACAGGAGGGATGCCTGCAGACACAGGGCCCCGTCAGGTCTTCACTTCCCTTCCTTCACTTCCCTTCCACAGTGATCCTTTTCCACCCCACCTGCCCCTCATGCCCCCATCCAGCCCAGCCCCTGCCCTGGCACCTTCACTGTAGGCACAACAGGGACATCCAAGAGACTTCTGGTGTCCTTTCCTTCTTCTGCAGTGGCACCTCCTGGCACAACAAAGGTGAAGTGCTCGAGGGCTTCTCCTGCTGCAGGGACCATCCGCTTCTCCGGGTAGTGGATCACAGAGTAGAAAGCAGTAGGTGGAATGGGAGGCCCCGAGGGACCCAGTCCCAGGTCATCCAGGATCTAAAGCATAAGAGAAAACCCTGTTTATACTCTTGTCACCTTCATCCTCACAATCCCTGAAAGGCACTGAGCTTTTGGCAATGGGCTTTTTTATGTAGATGGAGTACAGTGCCTTTTTACAACCAGCAGAGTGGGCAGGCTCCAGAGCAGTGCCAGGACCTACAAGTGGGACCTAGAGAGAAATCTCAACTCTGAGTGACTCGGCTGAAGGAAACAATGACCAGGAGCTGCCCTGCCCTGGGACCATTTTTAATGATTTCTAGACCGGGAAACTCTCCAAACAGAAAGGATGTTCGAACAGAGAGCCCTCCCTCTTCCCACCCATCTGAGGGATGGCAAGAACTTCCCCAGCCACGCGGCTGCTGTGAAGCCATTGTGGAACATCATCAGTGGCCTGGACAAGGCTCTGTGCTGTTGTCACCTGTCGGGACACAATGCACCAGGGCCCAGACCACGGCAGGCTCAGCATTTGAGCCTCACAGGGCTTTACCTGCTCTGCCGCTGGCAGCTTGCCACTCTCCAGGATCGCCCTCGTCACATCTGCAGAGCTCAGCACCTGGATGTCCAAGCAGGGCACCCCGATGTCCTGGCCTCTGGCTGACCCTTCTGCACCTTCTCCTTCCAGCCCAGATAACTTGGAGTCCTCAAGAGCCTTCAGTTTTTCCAGACGCTCCTTCTCCAGCCTTTCCTGGCGCTCCTTCTCTCTGTCCCTCCGGCTCCTGCGACTGGATGAACGCTGGCGCTGGCCTTGTACTTGGTGCTGCACCACCTCTTGGTTCAGAGGGAACAGCAGGATACTCTGAGCCCTGTCCCAGGATGACAAAATATGCGTGACATCCTTCTGCGATGCCTCATAGATCTTAAACCTCAGGGCCAAGTTCTCGCTGTCATTCTGCGCCTTGGTTTTGGTTTCCCCCTGTTCTGGGTCCACAGGTTGGACAACCTCTGCTGGGCAGGCATCTGTCAGGGGAGCCTCGCTCTGCTTTTTCTTATCTTCCTTGTCACTTGCAAGAGAGTCTGGGTGCTCCTTTGCAGATCCCTTCTTCTCTCTCCCCTCGGTGACATCGGACAGGTTGCCGATGGATGTGCTGGTGTTGCTGGTGGATGCGTTCGTGTTCTGGGTAGGAGGAGCAAGAAAAAGCCAGGAGCATTTCAAAGCATGAACTCAAATGCTGTAGGATAGCGGCGATCTTTGCAATAGCACCCCACACCTCACCTGAGACCTGTGCTACATGTTCTACAAATCCCAGTTCAGAATGCAGCTGGTACCCAGTTGAGCTCAACTGAAACTAACTCCCCAGTGCCAGACTCATGAGGAGTCCTGCAAACCAGCTGAGAAACAGAACAGCTTCCCCGACCCAAACAGGGAACTTAAGACACCTCCTTACTCCTGTGCAGTCCTCTGGGCACGTTTCTGGTGTGCTGAGCATCCATCCCTGTGTCTGCCTGACACTTTGGGAAGTCTGGCTGCTAATGAATACCTAGAAGGCCTGGTGGTATCTCCTGCCAGACAGGTAGCAAATGACACCACATCCCAGGCAGGTCAGGGCTCAGAGGTGTAAGTCACATACAGATAGGGGAGAAATGCTGGACTAAAACTATCTAGGGCTTGGAGTTATGTGAAGCCATGACTCAAAGGCAGCATGACCCTAGAAGAGCAGCTCTACCCAACAAATCCATGTGAAAATACCCTTGGTGAAGCAGCAGCACAGTCAAACACTGGCACAGCCCCGTGTGTTACCGACGGCCAGGTGCTCATCCCCAGCACTGCGGGTGGCTGCTGGCTGCGCCAGGAATGGGGCAGCTCAGCAGGAGGGGCCCCAGGCCTTTACTCCTCTCTATAAACACAACCACCCACCTGCCTGACTCCAGGCTGGCTTTTCTTCCTTGAAGCATTATCTTTGTCTTTTCCAAGCTTTCTCTTGCCCCACTTAGATGACTTCTTCAGCTCTTCTTCCTCCCTCAAGCGTTCTAGCTCCCGCTGGTGCTTTTCCTCAAACTCTTGAGCCAGCTGCTCCATCTCCCTTCAGCAAGACAAACAGAAAACATCCCTGAGAGTCACCGCCAGAAATCTGGGCTCGATGCAATCCCAGCTGGTCCCGCACTTCATTCACTGACCCTGAGGCCAGGCACAACTGTTAGACCAGCTCTGTGGACTTCCCTCAACCTGGAGAGGCTGGGAAGTCCAAAGTGAGGGAAGGTGGGAGGGGACCTCCAAGGCCAGCCAAATCTAGGCTTTGTTGTCACAAGGTCTAAGCTGCACTACTTCTCCTGGACACCTCCAGCATGCTGCCAAAGACTGATCCACCACTGCTCGACACTAGAGTCTGAAGCTCTCAATAACCCAGTGTAAACCAGCTCACAAATGACTAACACCTGCTTATCCCTGCACTGATACTTACTTGGCTTGTCCAGCCCTTCTCCCTGGGCACAGCCTGCTCCTTAGTGAGACCAGCCAAATCAATCAGAAAGCAAAGGCTGCAGTAACTGCCCTCCTGTAAAACAGGCTCCGAACAACCAGGTTTCCTGCTGGAACCCAGCCATGACCATGGGAAACTTGTCTTGGAAATCACAGTTTGAAGCAGCCCTAGTGATCTCCTCCCAGGGAAACAAACTTCAGCTGGGGCTGAAAGAAGTGCTGACACACAGGCTTGCTTTAAGCAAGTCCCTCCCCAAGTTTCAGGCAGGAGTTGAGAGGCATAAGCTTATCCTATTTATCCTCCTGAACAGGGCTGCTTTGCTGGATCAGAGCTTCTCCCAGGCTCACCCACTGCTGCAGCTGAAGGTGAGACTACGGGACACCGGCTTTATGGCTGGTGTCACACGGTAAGGAAAACCCTGGGAGCTCAGCAGTGCAAGGGCCTCACCTACACCAGGACTGGGATCTAAACCGAGCCAGCACGGCTGTGCCTCACACCAACCCACACCACAACCCCTCTGGTTTGTAGAAGAAGGGCGATGAAGAAGATGAGAATGAACATCATTAACTTAGAGACACCTGTAAGCACAGTGGCAAGGCAAGCACAGAGCCCAGCTCCCTGCAGCCAATCCAAGCCAAAGGGCTCACCACTAAAATGAAAATATTCTCATCTCACCGGACAAAGGTGCCTCCTCTGCTGGGAACCAGGGAGGTGGAACTAGCAATCCTTGTACTGCTGGTAATTAATGCTTTTGACCTTGGTAACCCCTCTGAGCTCAGCCAAGGCCTCTGGAGCAGGGGAAACCCTTCGGGGACACTATCCTGAGGAGGCACCCATACGAGGGCTTACAGACCTTTTCTTCCTCTCATGCTGGACTTGCAGGATACTGTTATTAAACTGAACTTTTTCCTCCTCAGTGAGGGCATCATACTCGTCCTCGTCCATCTCCCAGAGATGTGCTTTCTCCCTCCTGGCAGCTTCTTCCTGCTCCCGTCCTTTAGCACAGACCAGAGGAGAAACCATCAGTGCTTGCAATGAGAGCTTGCTGCTCTGGGTGAGCTGCCAGGATTCACAACTCTGTCCCGACCCAGCCTATCATCCTGCCAGGAGATACTGGCGAGCTCACATCCCTGCTTCAAAATTCAGACAAGCCCCCAAACTGTCGCTGCTCAGTGAGTTCCCATGCCTTGTCTGGCTCACACACCCCAGCGCCGTGGACAGCTGGCTGGTGGTTAGTTATTGAGCCACAGCAACTTACACTTGTGCCCAAGCTTTAATGTTAGAGACTGAGGTCAGTCTTAAAGCCTCAGCTCTCCTGTATTTTAAGCAACTGTGAGCTGAGTGCTGGCTACACTGAGGCAGAAGGTGGAAGGATTAATAAAAACATCTCTTACAAGTTCTGCTGGTAACCCAGACACACACGGGTAAGGCTGAGGGCTTGAGAGATTTCAGAGTTACGGAGACGAAGAGTCTCACCTTCCTGCTCTTTTGTGGCCATCTCCCTGGCTTTCAAAGAAGCATAATCCTGGAACAGGTTCACAAAATAGATGTAAGGCCGATTTCTGACAGCTTTGAGCAGGCAGAGGAGAGCAGACGCCATGTTGCGTGCAAAGAGGGTCTCGAGGCCATCAAACACCACTCCCTGGTAGCAGTCACTCAGCTGCAGATAATGTCGAAAAGGAAGAGAAAGTCAGCTGTCGCACACATTGGGCTCTCAGCCAGTCACTAAAGCCTGACGTCAGAGATCAGCCATCACAGTTCCAAGTGCAGCAGCTCAGACGAGCTCTGATCTTTCCCCACGCTCTGCCAACTTATGGCATCTGCAGCTTCACCCATGGATCACTGCACACAGCCCAGGACTCCTCCAAGAGCAGGCACAGCCCTCCTCCTCCTCCTCTCTGAATTGTACCTCACTGCCTGTCTCTCTGTAGCAAGAACATACCATTTGCCCCCACCTCACGTACCTGCAGCCTGTCAGAGAGGATGGCCACCAGCAGGTCCTCGGGCAGCACGCAGCTCCTAAAGCCCAGCTCTCCTGATGTGCTGCCACTGATGCTCAGCGATTGCTGCACAGGAACACAGGGAAAGGGAGAGAGGTGAGAACTTGATGAGCCTTGCAATGTTGAACACAAGAAAAATCAACCACTCTGGAAATCCCCAAACAATTCCAGCTGCTGGGCTTGGAGCTGGGGTTTCTCACTAGCAGGAGACTAGAACAAAACTGCAGGCCAGCAGCTCCAGGAGACCACACTGGAGGGTGAATCTGTGGCCAGCAGAGACCTAAGCTCGCAAGCCCACAGCACAGCATCCTGCAGCTTTGCCCATGGCTGCAGCCATGTTAGCCAGGACTGCACTTTGCCAACAAAATGCTGAGATGCTGTAGAGCTTTTCTGCCAGAGCACAGGATTTCATTCCCACCTCAAGCCATGCCCAGCCTGCCCAGCTGGCTCCCTGCACTACAGACCCCCTCACCAGGCTCTGGGTGACACTGGAAGCGGCCCCTTTACTTCTCAGAGGCAACAGAAAGGTCCCAGGCATTAACCAGTGCAGATTGTGCTTCACCTGGGAGCCTGTCAGATCCATCAGATGCTGTTTCTGGGATTGGGGTGTGGTGCCATCCGTCTTCTTCTTGCCCGCTGCAGCGCTCGCCTGGCCTCGGGAGGTGATGGACTGCAGGCTGACTTTGTCCACAGAACTGGACTGGCTCATGTCTAGGCTGCGCTTGGCCTCGGGGCCGAACTGCAGGCTGAGAGACCTTTCTGCGTTGTGACCTGCGGAGGGGACAGATGCTCAGTGGGGAGCAAGCAGGCACCTTCCACCTCAACAGGCACAGCCCTGCACCCTGGCAGGGACACGACCCTTGACCCCAGCCTGCCAGGCACTAGCAGCACCCATCTCTAGAAGCAGCTCCTGTCCTGATTCTCTGATTAGCATGGTAAAGCACACCATCTGATACTGGATTTTAAAGCCAGAGAATTTTTAAGGCACAGCTCCGCGCCCCTCCTCACAAATGTGCATGCAGGTGATGCTGCACAGTAGCTCTGCTGTGGATCAAGCCAAGGCTCCATCCTCCAGGAGCATCATTTCTGTACCTTGTGCCCATTCTGCATTCTCACATGGAGATGGTAACATGCAGCCCTGCCCCAGCTGCATCCCCCATCTCCACTGAGCTAAATCCTCTGCATGGGATAACCCCACCCAGGGACCAGACCCTTCTTCCTTCCGCCAGCTCCCAACCCAACCAGGGTCAAAGCTGAGCAATGCAAAACTTCCCCCACCAGAACCAGGGTCTGGCCTCACCCTGCAGAGCTCGGGGCACCAACTGCCCAACCAGGTTTTCTGAAAGTCTCTGGTCTCAGGTGGAGAACAGCACCACATGCACGAGCTGCATGACCTGACAGTGTGTATAGGGAAACCTCTGGAGAAAAGAGCTCATCCGCAGTGTGTCTCATCTGAAACTCTGGGAGGTTATTCTTCCCTTCCTCTCATGTTTCTGAAGCCACACTCAAAGGCAGTTGTCTAGTGCTTAATGAGCAGCTTCAGAGGGCTTCTTCCCTGTTAAAGTGGGCAGCAGTTCTGCCTGATGGCCACGAGGAGTCGGCTTTGAGGAAATATTAAAAAACCCTTAGAAAAATACAGGTGTGCTTCACCATTCCTAGGAGAAGGAGTATGTGCTGAGAAGCCCAGAGGCAGTAAAAGTGCCCCTCCCTGAGCCCTTAAAACAGATTATTTTTTTTTAATAACACAAGATGCTTTATGAAATGGCTTTGCATTTCTACACGCTGCACCCATGTTCCCTAAGAGACCTAAGGGCTGTCAGACTCCCTCTCTGGAGCAAGCAGAAGTGGATGGTCAGGGTGGGTTTCTGAAGCGCTGCTCTGGGTCCAGCGTGTCTCCTTACCGGCACCTTCTGCCTCCTTGCAGCTCTGCTCAATGGCAGCCCCGATACACAGCTCCCGGGCACGCAGCCCTGCTGAGCTGCTCCTGTCCGAGATGGCTTCTGTCACCACGGTGTCGATGGACAAGCAGGCAGCGCCGTAGTATTTGGACAGGGCAACCGCTGCCGCTGTCTTTCCTTGAGAGAGAGGAAGACTGTTTGGTGACACTTGCACATGAAGCATTTTCAGGGACAGGCTCTAGAAAGTCCCCAGACAGGATTTCAAAGTTTCAAGGACAGTGGGAAATCAAGTGCCTCTTTAGGGGAGACCATGAGGGAGGGAGCTGAGCATGGCTGGAAGTGTTGTCCTCTAGAGCCATGTGGATCACCTCCACCTCACACCCAGCTGAGCACTTTGTCCCTTGTGGTGACCTCAACCCTGGGCCAGGACATTGTTTTGAGCCCGGTCCCGCCACCCCTGTGCTGGCCGGCGCTGCCTCAGGCAACATCTGGGCACAGGCTGGGGGTCAGTGTGGGCGAGGGACCGCACCCATGAGGCAACCTGGGCACTAGGCACCGTGCTCCCACCAAGCAACAGGGACACGGCCACCCTGTGGGGGGGAAGGATAACCTGGCTGTGTGGACACGGGGTGAGCCACAGCACTTGCCCCAGCTGGTGAAGGCCTGGGACCGTTTCATGTACCAGCAGGGCTGTGGCTTACCTCACTTCCCTTCAACTGGTCAACCAAGCACCACGGCCCACCAGGATGTGTCTCTCCTGCTCCCCCCGCCCTCCTTGCAGCCACGGGCTCGGCTCACCTACCTGTCAGGGGTGCCCCATGGACGATGACGACAATCCCTCTGCAGTTTTGGGCTGAGCGCCCCTCTGCAGAGATATCAAGGCCAAGGTGGCGGGTGATGGCCCTATGGACAATGCTCTGCCAATCCTCTGCTGTGCGGAACCAGATAGAAAAGTCAGCCTCCTGCCTACCTATGACCCTGATCATCCTCCCCATCCCCTCAGATCCTGGGAGAAAAGACTGCTGAAACCAACACCACACCGAGGTCTCACCATGCCCCTCCTTTAGGCTTGTGCAGATGAGGGTCTGCCCTAGATGGTGGTCAAGGTGCCTCTTTAGAGTATAGGAAATGGGGTGGCAGAAAGAGGAAAGAACAAGCATTTGGCAATACCTAAACTGATGGGGCCAAATCTCCCATGACCTGTCAACATGGTCCACATGGGAGTTTGGTCCCAGGCCCTGCTGAGTAAGGGGGGGTCAGGCAGAACCGGGCATTTTACACCATCCCAAGGGAGAGGCTCCATTTGCAGATCAGGTGATTATCCAGAAGCTGGATACACCATGAGATGTAGCTGGGCTCTGAATTCACCATAACAGCATTTGCAAAGAGCTCCCACCTGTGCCCTTAGGAGGTCACCAAAAGCCATCTCGGCTTGCAGTGTCACGCAGGACAGAGAGCATGCTGCCCTGCCTAGGAAAGGGAACAGCATCACCCTGATCCCACCAGCTTCTAGGGGAAAAGGTGCCCAATTTGGCAAAAGTGGGGAGAACCTCTCTGGCCTCTCACTTGTCCCTGCCCTGTCTGCAACATTACCCATCCCCTGTCTTTTCTCAACACCTTCCTCCTCCTCTGCACTCAGATTTAGAGTTCATCTCGTTGGACTGGTGTTCATCAAACACAGAGGAGGAAATGAATGAGCTCTGGGATGAGACAGTGTGAATGATCCCAGCAGAGGACTTTCTTCCTTGATCTGACAGAGACTGGACATCTTCAAGGTTTGCTGAGGAGGAAGGACATAGGGAGGGAAGAAGAGGATGGACATGGCCAGGCAATCTTCTCTTTGCCATTTGCCACTTTGCATGGCCACATGCAAAAGATGGAAAGTTTCCCAAAGAGAAACCTGTACAGGCTGTCTCTGCCCTCAGAGGAATTTTGAGTTTGTGCTTTTGGTGCTGGGAAGGAGCAAATACAAGATAGCAAGTGATATTAGACCTGGTCCTGCTGGCTGAAGAAATCATCAAATCCTATTTTTTGTGGTTAGGGGACACAAGGGGACAACATGATTATTTCCCCAGTCCATGGTAGGCAGATATGAGCTGGTAGGGGATATGTGTTAAAAGCCACAGACTTTTATGCTGGAATTCCTCCACCAAGCTGGGGAATGGGTGGTTGCTGAAAGCCTGAGCTTCCCACAGAGAGCTCAGGGTGTGCGGGCGGGACTCCCCGCTGTGTCCACACTCAGGACAGCCAATGCCAAACCCTCACCATTGTCCTGACCTGCTGGTTCCCCAGTCTTGGACTTTGTCTGCTCATCCTGCAGCCTTTTCTGGTCCTGATAGTACTCCAGCACCTCTGGGGGCAGCTTCTCACCCGGGGCACGTGGAGGCAGCAATAAGGTGTTGTGGCAATCGTAGTCTTTAAGCATCTGCAGGATCTGTGCATGTAGGGAAGAGAAGCCATATACAGGATGTGTGTCTAACAACATGGACTATCCAAGCCTGCCAGCAGACTGGCTAACCCTGAAATGCCACCAGGCTTTGCCCTGGGGACAGTCTCCATCTCCCTGCCATGAACCTGGGAATGCTGGAGCACTGTGAAGCTACGGGAGCATGCATATGGGGACCAGAGCTTCCCTCTCACCTGCTCCTCAGCAAGGTACTGCTGGTCGAACTCCAGTGAGTAAAACTCAATGGGGAACTCACATGGGTTCTTCACCACCACCGTCCCCTCTGCTCCACAGCTGTATGGCAGCAACGGTCCCAGCTCGAGCACTGGGGGGCTGAACTCCAGCTGTGGCTCCAGCCCATGCCCTGAGACCTGCAGCTGGAGGTGCTGGTTGCTCTGGCAAATGTTAATCTTCAGCTCGCTTCTGTAGGACTTCTGAAAAGAGAGAAGTGCAGAAAGCTCTTCCATGAAGTCCCAGGTGACAGGGCTTCAAATTCAACTCTTGCCCCAGGGCAGGGGTGTCACCAGTACCTCTAAGGGGAATGGAAAACAGATATTTACTTCCAGCAGGGGCTACAGCATCTGCATGCTGGCTCTGAGAAACTGGGACGAATCCTGGTGTGAAGTGTAACTGGATATTTAGGTGCTGATGAATCTAAAATGCAGATGTTTTCACCTAGTCATGAGGGAGTGTGATGCTCATGAGAAAGGTCCTGAGGGTTATGTTGCCCAGACACAGTCCTGGCACTGCTGCATCAAGCAAACATCAGCTCGATGAATGAGGCAGATGAGCTCTCACTGGCTAGAAATAAGGGTCGTCTTCTCTGCTCAGTGTTTGGCTCTGATCAAAGCCAGACACAAGATGGTTACACCTCTACAGCAATTAAAACATCCCTAGGACTGTTCCCAAGGACAGAAGCACTTGTGTCCATCCTTTTAACCACTGCCAGTTTCCATGTCACGGTGGCCACAGGCAAACTGCCTTTGGGAACACCCCATCATTTCAGCTGACTCCCAGAGTGCCTGGGAACGTGCAGGCAGGCTGGGCCAGAGACACAGGGACTGCTGGCAGCACACCACTCCAGGTGACTGTCCTGCCGTGCCCAGGAAGGTGCCTGGTGGCTGTTTTGTCTGCTGATACCAGCAGCAGGACTTGCCTAGATTGGCCCTTCCAGGGTTACCCCCTGCGAGCGCGCCAGTTGCTCTGCACCAGGGTGTTGCAGCCACAAGCAGGCCCGTGCAAGGGGGAGACAAGGGCAAACAGGCAGTTTTTCCCCCATGCACCCAGAAACTGCCACCCCACTGTGCCCTTATGCTGAGCAAGCTCCCCCGGGGGATTTCAAAGCCCATCTCACAGAATCACACAGAATCGTCTAGGTTGGAAAAGACCTTGATCCTCCAGTCCAACCATTAACCTAGCACTGACAGTTCCCAACTCTGCCAGATCCCTCAGCGCTGGCTCAGCTCGGCTCTTAAAACCCCCAGGGATGGGGACTCCCCCCCTGCCTTGGGCAGCCCATTCCAACGCCCAACAGCCCCTTCTGCACAGAAATCCTTCCTCAGAGCCAGCCTGACCCTGCCTTGGGCAGCTTGAGGCCATTCCCTTGGGGCCTGAAGCTGGGGCCTTGGCTCCAGAGACTCATCCCCCCTCTCTGCCCCCTCCTGGCAGGGAGTTGCAGAGGGCCAGGAGGTCTCCCCTCAGCCTCCTCTTCTCCAGACTGAAACCCCCAGTTCCCCCAGCCGCTCCCCAGCAGACCTGTGCTCCAGACCCTGCCCCAGCTCCGTTCCCCTTCTCTGGCCACGCTCGAGTCACTCAATGGCCTTTTTGGAGTGAGGGGCCCAAAACTGAACCCACTCATCGAGGGGCGGCCTCACCAGTGCCAAGCACAGGGCTCAGATCCCTTCCCTGTTCCTGCTGGCCACCCAGTGCTGACACAAGCCAGGATGCCATTGGCCTGCTTGGCCAATTCAACCGACCCTTCTCAGAAGGGTGTGCTGCAGGGGAAACTGAGGCACAGTGGGTACGGGCCTTGCAGAAAGCTCTCTGTGGAGGCAGATGCCATCTCCTCCTCCCTGTGCTGGGCTCTCATTACCACACTGCCCTGCCAGACCTCCTGAGGGTGACACTCGCCCATCTCACCTCTTCTGTGGGTGAAAACCTGACTCGCACGTTGCATCGCTGTCCTGGAGCGAGGGTTCCGGCCGAGGGCAGTGCCTCAAACACACATGGCTGGGCCTTCAACTTCTGGGGCACCTTCTGACGCACCCTTGCTGGCCAATGTTTGTCCACCTGAGCACAAAAACCAGTTGTGTGAGGTCTCCTTGGTCTGCGAGGACAGACCCTTGGTCCCTGCAGTGCTCTGAGACACCGTTATGGTGCTGAGGGCACCCACAGCCAAACCAGCCAAGGCCACCCCTGGCCTGAACTGGAGGGAAAACATGTCGGCAGGGCAGGCAGATGGGGAGGCACCATCCTCAGAAGAGGAAGAGCAGGGGAAGGCGGCAGAGAAGTGAAGCACCAGCTAATGCCCAGGTCCAGGTGAGCCAGCCTTGCTCTGTACCCTCCAAAGCTTCCTCAGACGAGCTGCAGCCCAAGTGCTCACACAGCCACAGGGGCAGAAAGGGCAAGAGAGGCAAAGAAAACCCAACCGAGAAGTTATGTGTTACACATTGTCTGTGCTTTACCTTCTTAACAGGCTCATTTATAGTGATGAACCAGTTACAGGGGACCTGGAGCTTATTGTGGAGCTGGACAGTTTCTTCCTGGCACTGCCCACACTGGAGAGTGAGGAACTCCAGTCTGTCCCTGGAGATGCAGAGGGCTGGCATGGCCACGCTGGCACGGAGGCGGACGTGGAACGTGGGGCCTCCTGCTACCTAGGCAAGGACAGAGCATCCAGCTGAGAGCCCTAGTGACATCTGCTGCTGTCCCTGACCCTCCACCTGCTCCGAGAGGTGCACAGGCACAGCGGGGCGAGGAAGCATGCCTCAGGTACCTTGATGGGCAGGAGCACGTCTACCTCTCCCAGCGGCAGGTTGGCACTCTGTGGGTCGAAGCGCACTTCAAACATCTTGGTCTTGCAGCAGGGCAGGTGCTTCACGCGGTCCAGCTCCACACTGAAACCTTGAACAGATGAAAATAAAGCAGCTGAGATACACAATCGACATGAATGTGTCACAAACACATTAAGGCTGTATGTCCTGGCTGGTAGCTCTGTGAAGGACCCCTTTGTACCTGCGGAGAAGACTGCCACTCCTCCTTTGTCACCACACAAGGAGAAAGGGTTTCACAGCCAGAATCCAAGATCCACATGATTAAAAGGAAACATCTCAGTTGAGGAGCTCCAGCCATTCCTTCACTAGGCATCCCAGGGAAGGATGCACAGACCTCTCCAAAGGAGAATTTCTAACTAAGATTCCCCCATGCCATGGTGCTCCCTGAAAAACAATTTAGATGAGGCACCTGATCACCCTTCAGACATGGACAGTCACCGTTTGCTGGTGCTGCAGCCTTACGTCACGGCCTGTTTCGGAAGCCTATTTTGATACAACAGAGGACCTCACAGGCTGTCTTCTCAATAAAGGCTGAGCAGAAGTGCTATGGCATGATGAACTTTAAAAAAGCACTTCTAAACCACAAAGGGTGCATCTGTTTGCAACACAAGCTCATGGAGTGCCCATCAGATGATGCTCATGGTAGCCAAGAGCAGAAGATGCTGGGAGGTGACCAAGGTGATCAGCCCACCCAGCCCCAGCAGGGAAGTGTTAGGGCAGGCCCGGGCAGGCCGGGTCTCAGTGCTGCTGGCCACGAGAACTCAGGCTCTAAAGCACCAGGCAGAGGGTCCCAAGGAGGAGAGAGTTACATATACAAGCACTCAGAAAACCTCCCCATGTCCAGTGGCTTAAGCTAATCTGTCAGAGACAGCTCCTTCGAGCCCACGCGAAGGCTCTCCAGCACTGGTTACCTGTGTCACGCAGGACCCGTCTGTCAGCACGGAAGGACACAGGGAACTGCCCGGTGTTGGTGATCCTCACGATGTGTGTGTGGGTGTTACCAAGAATCACGCACCCAAAGTCCAGCATGTACTCAGGCAGCTCAGCTCTGAAAGGAGGAGTAAGGACAGACCTTAAACCACAGCCTGGCCACATTTCCAAGAGTGTGGAAGATGCAAATAAAGTGGGTATTTCTGGATTCACTGCTGTAAAAACTCAACTCGAGCCCATGAAACCCAAGGCCTGACCACCTGGTAATAAGTAAGTCATGAGGAGCACAGCACCTAGGTCTTATCAGCTACCAGTGGGACCTTAAATGTTTAAAATGGATACTGGTCACAGCTCCTCTGCTATGGAAAGCCACTGTAGACAAGTCCAGTGGACCTCCACTGGTCTCAATGAAACTGCTAAGCCTGGTGTACAGCCCCAGCCTGGAACTGTTGCAGGACACTGTCTAAGATTTGCCTGCACAGGAAATCTTCACTGCTCTGCAACCACATCTGTCCCCAAAGCAGCGCCAACAGATGCAGTAATCATCTAAAGATTCATGGGAGGGTCCTTTTCCAGAGCAATTGCACTCGGGAAAGCACATATGTATTCTGTTTTTGCAGAGCATCTTCCTGAACTGGAGCCTACTGTGCCCGTGCCTCCTCATGGAGGGGCAGAGGGAAGGGCCGAGTTACCGAGGTAAGCCCTGCAGTCCCACCAGCATCCAGGCCACCTGATTTAGGATTTGTCAAGGGTGTGTCAACCTCTGCAGTTCCCTACTCCTTTTGCTCAGTGTGGTCTGTTAGCCAGAACAAAGATGCCAGCTTTGAGTTGCCTCTTTCAGAGCTGGTCAGCAGGGATGGTGGTGGTGCTCTCTGGAAGGGCCTGGTGCTCTGCACTGGTCCCCCTCAGCCCTAAGAGCAGGACCCAGCGCCTGTGGGGAGATGAGCACCTCCAAAGCTCAGGGTGGCTCTGTCTGTGGCAGTGAGGACACTCAGCTGCTCACAGGGAGCATGGCAAAGCTACCAGGATCAGACCCTTTCTGAAGTCCCCACTACCCCCAGCTCTGCAGACACAAGGAGCTCTCAGGAGCAGGGGTGCACTGCTGGGTGCTACCCTCGGGGCACCTGGAGACAGGGTACAGGAGCCCCTACTAACCTGAGAAGCCTCTGACGAGCGTGCTGGTCAAAGGCAGTGGCCTCTGGGGGACCAGAGGTGAAGGCTTTCTGCTGCTCCAGGGCATGTTCTTCTATCAGCAGCTGCTCCATCTGCATCTGCAGCCCAGGGTCCAGCTGAGGGAAGGAAAGGCAGCAACTGGTTAGCAATGGTCCTTCCCAAGGCTACCCCCTGCTCGTGTTGAGATGGGTGATGGGGTCCTTCTGTCTTGCTGCTCAGTGTTGACACCTCCTGCTCTCTTAGTTAGGGCTTCATCGCAAGAGCAATGAACTCCAGCATCTTTGCCTGCCCAGTCACTGTTATAAAAGCTGATCTGGCCAGACAGACAAGCCAGGAACCTTCCAGAGCTCCAAGTCTTTGCCTGCCCCAGCCAGTGCCAAAGCAGCTCAGACAAAAGCTCTCTTGTAAAGGGAGCCACGATAAAGCTGCTGTCTCTTAGAGATCAGCACTGGCAGCACAGTCCCAGAGCACAGTCAGGCTGCTGCTATTAAGCTCTGTACACCTGGCAGGGCTTGGGTTGTGAGCAGCAAATACCCCAGTGGTGACCTACATCTCCATCACGAAGTACCATAAATTCAATCACTTGAGCAGGGTCTTCAGGATCTCTCCCTGGGGCAGCCCCGGGGGCACTGCTGAGCTGTGCAGGATCATGGGCAGGTGTAGGCAGGGAAGTCCCAAGTGCCAGCAGGGCCCCGGGAAGCCTGCTGCAGGCTGCAAGGGACCCAGTGACACCGGGGGAGGGTGGCACATGTCAAACGGGGCAGCAGACATTCTCACCATGGTGTCCAAGGGATCTGGGGGTGGCTCCGTGGCCACAGTCTCCTCCAGAACAGCTGCTTCCTCTCTCTGGGTGTCTTCTTCCATCTTTTCTATCACCAACTTGAAGACCTTCTCATATTTTTCATTTCCTGAAGGAAGAAAACATCCACAAATAGAAGCGTGGCACAGCACCATTGCCATTGAAGCTGGGAAGCCCCACTCCCCCGACTCTGGCCTCTCCCTCGGGAAGCAACTGGGGGGTTGAGTGTTGGTCTGACAGCCCTGAAACCTCCAGGCTTGGTGGAGGCAGGTGTGAGCTGCCCTATGGGCATCCTTCATTGGGGAGAAACAGGGGACCCTCCTGGGGAGCAGACAGTTCATGCTCACCTTTGATATTCCTGGGCAGGTCCAAGTAGATCCTGGGAAAGCTCCCCTCTCCTTTCAGGGAGATTTCTTCGGGTTCCAGGTGACCCACTTGGATCTGGAAAGTCCTGCAGAAGGCTCCACACACTCCTGGCAGGTAATAGACTTTGAGCACTTGCTTCTTGCCAGATTCAACATAACCCTGCAGGATGTGGGAGAAGAGGGACGGAGTGGACAAAGAGGGTTTGGTGGAGGGATGGCTCAGACGACAGACATGCTGAGATGGCAGGTTCTCATATATAAGAAAGTATCAGACAACATCGTCTTCTACCTTTCTGTACCCAGAAGCTGAGGTCTCCTACACCAGGTCCTTCGGAGGGCCTGTAGGGATGCATTCCCCCAGGACCGACCCACAGACTGCCCCTGCTCAGCATGAGCACAGCTTTGCCCCTAACCATGTTTACCCTCTGCTAGCAAGAGCCAGACCGAAGAAATAAGAGCTCTTTACCAGCCACTATGCAAAATAAGTGAAGTGCCCACACTCTCAGCATGGCCAGCAGCTCCTGCCACAGCACACCAGCGGTTCCTAGGCTGGTGTTGAAGGGCCTGACCCCTTATAATGATCCCAACCAAACATCTCCTGCCTGTGCGGTTACACCAGGGGTGCATGAGCCTATCCAGACTCACGGTGACCTGCAAACAGGCATCCTGGAAAGGGAGGAGCAGAGACTAGGATGAGACATAGGGAAACTGTTGCCAAGAAGGGCACCTCCTCTCTGGGCTTCCAGAAAGGCTGCCCCAGCCCCAGGCTAGGCTCACGCCAGCCAGGCTGAGAGCAAATGCAAGCAGACAGCAACACAGCCCTGAGTGATGGGACACAACCGCAGCTTTCCTCGGTTCGCCCTCTGCATGCTGGGCTGGACCCTCGGCTCCCCGCTCCCCTTCACGCTGCAGGGAGAAGCTGCTGAGTGGGACAGATCCTGCCACTTGGTGCCCTGAGCCCCTGGTGCAGTGCAGAACACAGCTGCAGTGAAAGCCAGCCCTGCCAAGCTGCCAGCGCTGGTTACAGCGACCGACTGCGCAGCGCCAAGCAGAGCTGGGTCTTGGGAAGCTGGCAGGAAGAAGGTGTTGGTGTGTCACCCCTTGTGAGAGACAGTCATGAGGAAATGTGAACGCCGTTTGGCTTCCTCTTCCCACTACAAAAAGGGACTAGACAGGAATGCTGCTCCAGCCCAAAGACAGCCACGCAGGACTGAGAAGCTGTGATGGTGGGATGCTGCAAACTCCTCTCCTCGCTGTTCCAGCCCTGCTCCTGCCTGGCCCCCTCACTGCCCCACAGAGCTGCTGGGGAGCAGCAAAGCTGGGGGAGTGGGGGACCGGTACAGGGGCTGCTACAATTTCTGCCAAAGCAGCTTCAAGCCCAAGTGAGAGCATTGGAGTCCCACTCAGTGCTGGCAGGGGCCTGGCAGGGTGTGCTACAGGCAGGGACAAGGAGTAAGCCCTGTCCGATCACACAGCCTGGGCACGGTGACCCCCAAGAGAGCCGGCACAGCCCGGCCCCGGTGCCTGCACAGCTGGAGCGCTCAGCAGTTGGGGTCCCCAGAGCCACCGAAGTGCTGGTGCCTCCAGCCGGTGGCTGCTGTGTGACAGCAGGGTCACCTGCTGGCAAAGGCCGTCAAGGGAGGCCGTTAGGACCGCACTTGCTTGACACTCCTGCCCCCCAGCAGCAGCTACTTACAGCCCTGTCTCTCCTGTCTGCTTTTGTGGGTTGTTTTCTTTTTTATAAATTTTGTTTTTTTCCCCTACAACCCACTCCCGGGCAGCCTGACCCAGAGCCAGGGTCAGTCACTCACCGTGCTGGGCAGGACCAGGGGCACGCCGGGCAGGGGGCTGTCTGCAGTGCCCATGCTGGGACTTAGCACCTCGTAGGTGAATCCCATCTTCCCGCTGTTCTGCAGGGTGACCTCTGCTTCGGTGACTTTGTTAAACAGCTGAAGAGAGGACAGAGGCATGGGAAGCTGAAGGCACAGGCCTGATACTGAGAACCTCCTTCTGCTTTCACTGGGATGTGAGCAAGTGAACTCAGCACAGGAGAAAAACAGAGGCAGAGGAGGTACGGGCACTTGAGTCTCCCCGGTTAACCTGGGGAAGCCAACGCCACAGGGCACCCCTTAGCCCTGCACCGGAACAGACACTGATGGTGGCATGCAGCGGGGCAATGCCAACCACAGAGATCAGTCATAAGGAAAGCAAAGAGGAGACAAGCTCTCTGCACCTCATGGTGTGTCATCTCACACCCAGCTGGAACAAAGGAGGTGGCATCAAGACACTGCAGAAGAAAAAGTACCTGCAGTGACAGCAAAATGGGAGACAGTGAAACAGCTGGAAATATCTGTGGGGTTTTTAACCCGAAATAAGTGGGGATTATTCTAGGACATTCTCTCCAGTTACAGTGACTGGAAAGCCCAAGTTAACTTCCTCCCTGGTTTATTTTGCTGATTAATCAAGAACATTAAAAGAGAGCACCTCCTGGGACCTCAGGCTTTAGGAGCGGATCAGCAGATGGACGTCTTGGGGCACGTCCCTCTGGAGATCACCACTGGGACCCTGCCTGCCCCAGGAGGCGGCGTTAGTTCCCTTGAGGAGGAGGAATTCCCAGCTGGAGGGCGGTGGAGATGGCCATTAAAAACTGGCTTGGATGGAGGATGTATCACTCCAAGGATGTACTTGCAAGCCATAGTGCCAACAAAGTAGTGGGGAAGGGGAGAGAGCCCCAGCCCTAGGTGGCAGCAACCCGCCGGTGATGGTTTCACGACAAGGACCTCTGCCAAGAGAAGCTGCAGTACCTGCAGCCCACAGTCGATCTCCGTGACGTCTAGGAGGTAGTTGATGAGTGAAGCCTCCCCACTCAGCGCAATCTCGTAGGTCGGGCCTCCCTCCACCCTGCACAGTGCTGTGACGTGGGCGACGATATTTGTGTGGCCAAAGAAGGTGAACATGACCCGCTGGCTCTTGCCTGGATGCAGCACACCATAGCGTGGCAGGACATCAAAAACCTGGAGGTAGGCAAGGAGAAATCAAGATGATGAGCATGGAAATTGATGCAGAAGACCAGCCACGGCTTGGAGCAATGTACAGACGTGGCTGGGGAGGGCTCTTCCTCAAACACAGGCAAAATCTCATCCTGTATCCATTCCACTTACCAGTGGAGGGACCACAGGAAAAACCTTCTCCCATACTCACTCATTAACACATTAATTAATACACTACATATTAAAGTAATTTGGGATGTCTCCTGGCAGCAAGAAATTCTCTCCACTGCAGAACTTGCCTTTAAAAGCAACTTTTACTGCCCTAAGCAAAACACAGTATTCAGAGGTGAAAGCTCTCAGAGCTGGGGGGAGGACTCCAGCCCAGCTCATCTGACTCCTGATGCTTTTCACTCTCTCCGATTCACATGCTGTGCGCTCTCAAGATGCTACAGAAAAAGCAACTGCAGAAATTTCCTGTTGACCACTTGATTAGCAACAAGATGAATAAGCCCCTCCATAGCTGCTGCACAGGTCAGCCCTACGACATGTCCTGCGTGGCCTCTCCCGAGACCAGTTGCTTCAGCACCGCAGTGCGATGGGCTTGGAGGGATGTGAAGCCACTCTGTGAGCAGCATCAAGGGCCACCAGTGGGAGGAGGGGGTACATAACTGCTTGCCACACTGGAATCGTGGCATAAGACAGATTCCCACTTACCTCCTCCATTCCCAAGGTGACGGGCTCTGCCTCCACAAAGTGCATCCGTTTGTTGATCCCCACCAGGCTCTGAGTCTCCATAGCACCTTCCAGCTCCTCAGCAGGGCATGGCAGCAGCTGGAAAACAAGCACCATGGGCTGCAGCAAGCAGCTGGCTGGTCTGGGTGAGAGCACTCTGCTGCAGGCTCCACCACCTCACCCAGCCAGGAGCAGCTGAGATGGGACCTGGGTGCAAATCAAGTATGGGTATGTCCATGCTATCCGTTGAGTGTGGGTCCAAGCCCACCCACAGGTGAGACACAGGCTCTGCCTGCACTTCCTACACACAAGTGTGCATGGGGAAGCTGAGTGCACCCAGCCCTCAGTCCTGGCAGAGACCTCAAGGGCATTCTGCACCCTTGTGCCAGCCCAGCTTCGCCTACTCCTGCCCAGGATGTGTGCCCAGAACCCCATGCCTCGACAGTTTAGGTTCTTCATGACAAAAACAGGTACACAGCTGCAAGTGAGAATTATCAAAACCAGGAAAATAAGGGCTTGGCACAACTGTCCCATTTCAGAGAGTGCTTAGGTTTCATCTTGTGTACCCATCAGTGCTGGAGAGCTGAGGATCTCCACCATGTCACTCTCTTGAACAAAGGCAGCCGAGATGTTCTTCTGTCTTGAAGCAGCTGAGAGCTGGTGTTTGACCTCAGAGGTACCACCTTGCAAAAGGAACCTTGTTCCTGGGCTTCTGTCCCCTATTTAATAAGTGACAGTTTTGTGAATGCTTTTGAAATGTAGTAATACCTGCTTCTTCAGTGACAGGAAGAAGTGCTTTGTGCTGGGGCCTTGGCATCAGCAGAATCTGCAAGAATATTTACGGGACATCTTTACACCTAATCAGAGGCTATATCTCCCTGGTAGATGAAGCTCAGGATCAGAAGATTCAATGCTCCTTCTCTCATCTCCACATTTTCAAGCCTAGCAAAGCTTTGCCAAGAGCCTGTTCCCAAAGATTCTAACCCACATCTTTCATAGGCCCATGGTCTCCCACCTCCCCAGGGAGGTTATGTGGATATTGCCTTGATACAGTGACACAAGCAGATGATGAAGCCACAATCCAGACATATCCTTTGAAGCACTTTGGATCCTTCTTAGCCATTATCTACTTGAATTTCTCTGGTTTATTTCTCCATACATGGCAACAAAGCAGGAAATAAAGATGATTCCATGCTTCTATCTAAAAAATTTCAGCTACACTATTCTTTACATCTACAGGGTATCATTTCTCACGATTCAGAAAAAAAAGTGCAATTATAATGTTAAAGTGACCGATATTTGGATGTGAGCAGGTGCAACCCCTCTCCTTGAACTTAATGCCAATGCCAGTGCTTTCAGAACTTCCCATGCATCCTTGCATCCTTTTTTATTGTCCCAGGAGCAGCCTCTGTCCCACACAATGCAGAAAAAGGTGCCAGTTCCCACTAGCACGGATGCCAAATTCCAAAGCACCGAGGTTCACCAGGAAGGTCTGCAGACCAAAGGCCGTTTTCCATGCCAGGAGGAAGAGACAGTGACTTTGCAAAGCCTCATTTTATCAAAGACAGCTCTGTGGCTGTCCCTGCAACACTACAGATCTCTAGTGAAGGCAGAGACATGAAAACAGGCGGGTCCAGCTGGGGGTGAGAAGGTGGTACCTGGAGATCACGGTACTTGGCACAGCTTGATACAGGAAGGAAACTGGAAGCCTTTACATCATGATGCAGATAAAAGCCCCATTTACAGTGTAAAAACAAGCCAAAAAACCCCAAACTCGTCATAGGTCTGTAGGATCTCAGTGGGCTTCTCCAAGCAAAACTATCCGATTTCTCCCTCCCCAGAAGCCCTGTGTCCAGCTGCTGGCCCTGCTGCCTAGCCCACCCTCAGGGCACATGACAGCAGGGCAGCAAAAAGGGGGATTGGCACAAGCACGGCTTTTTGGCGGCAAGATGGGGGAGGCAACGCAAGTGGTAGGTGTGCAAAAAAATCTACCTTTGCTTGCAGGGAGTCATCTGCATCTGTTGGCTCTTGGACAGGATCCCCTGTGGCTCCCAGGACTTCGGCTGGCTCCTCCACACCTCCATCCCTGCAGCTGCTCCCTGCAGACACCGAGCGCTCCGACCAGGCTCCCTCCTCCTTTGGTGGTTGGGGTTTACTGAAAAATTTAGGTACCGGAGGGCTGAACCTGGAAAATAACATGACTTTGATTGTGGACCTGCAGTGGGAGGGAGGGAAGCCTGCATGAGCAGCTCCTCGGCAGGATGCAGCCCCCGGCTGGGCACTGCTGGTGTGAATTCAGTAACGGGTCTGACCCAGCAGCTCCAAAACCAGGATGGAGCAGGTCAGCATATGGGGCTGCCTAGGGATGACGCTGATAGAGCGCAGGCAGCTGGCAACTGGTTGCGAGGAGAAATGGAAGAGGACACGGGTGAAAGTCTTGTAGGGAGGTAAAAAGCACAGCTGGAAAGGAAGAGACACACGAACTGTGCAAAAAGGTGAGCCTGAGACACAAAGGGGCAGATCCAGACAGCAACAGGCCAGTGCAGAGCCGCCAGTGCCCTCCTGAAAGCACCCACAGTGCAGAATGGGCCTCCCCCACCCAGAGGGCCAAAGCGAGAACTTCTGCAGCTCCCCCAGGTGCTAACCAGGAATATTTCCCCTGACATCACCCGCAGCTCCAGGCCAGCACAAGCAAGCAGCAGTGCCCGAGGCTTTCTCCAAGCGCGTAAGGCAGGAGCAGGGATAGAGCCCGGAGCCTGCTGCGCCCTAACCCCGACAGATCCCAGCGCCGTGCGGGGGCACCCACAGAGCCCGGCACGGGACACCCCACACACGCAGGGCAGCGTGGAAAGACCCGCTGAGCAACTCCGGGCAGAGACTCACGGCTGAACAGCACGCTGATCCCTCAGGAGCGCCGAACAGCAGCGATTGGGAGCTTTGGTCATTTGTATCAATACACAGCACACGCCGGTGACAAGGCTCAGCTCCCTGCTGTGCCACTGGCATTCCCTGGTTGCGACACAACGGCTCCAGCCGCACCTCACGCTAAAAGGGCAGCAGCTCTGCTGAAACAAGGCTGTAACCGATGTGGCATGACCACCTCCCCAGCAGCTTCTACACACAAACCATTTGAGGACCAATTTGGCAAATGATTCAGCAAAGCAGTTCAACAGCTCATCTTACTGACAGAACTGAGTTGATAGTCTGACCAACACGTGTCAGTCAAAAGCGTACGGTTTAACATTTTCAAACAGTCCCAGTGACTCAGACTACATTCCCTGTTTCAAATCGCAGCAGGTGCTCACAGTAACTCTGTTCACGCTTCCAGTGCCCCATGGAGGGACACACTGGAACTGTGCCTGCCTGTCACCATGCCTATCTGCACGTGTTCCCGGGGGCAAACGAGCCCCATCCTTTACAGCACTGTGGGTGCTTCATTCCCAGCTGGGAACTCAGGGCCTTTAACGACGTGCTCCCAAATGAGTATTTGTCTCTGGCTTTGCAGCTTATCGTTTAAGGCTGGTTTCCATCTCTGGATTAGAGGCTCTGCTCCGCACAACCCCCAAGAGATCCCATCTGACTCGTCCTTCCTGCAGCCACATGCAAGAACAAGGCTCTGCCCAGGCGAGCTGCCCCAAGCAGGGACCAATGAGCAGCAGCACTGTCAGCCTTCCCCAGCCCCTCCTCTGCCTGCTACTGGGACCCCATGGGGGACCCCAAAGGCCAGCTCGGCACCGTCCACGTGGAAGAGCAAAGCAGGGCTGGAGGGGACGAAGGCGCGCACTTGCCCCTGCAGAGGATCGCCCATCTTCAGTCCCGCCAGCGCAACCTTCGCTCCTCTCAGCCGAGGTGCCTTAACAAGTACTGGAGTGCCCTGAGGGGTGACCCACCTGCTCAACACCTTCAGCAGCTGCTATCTTGGGCACCTGCCTCAGGATGAAATCAATCCAGCTCATCTGCAACAACAGTGCCTCCGGACAGCCTGCAGCTGAACGCTGCCTGTCCCTGGTGACAGGGAGATGCCCCCAGCACAGGGGCAGACACATCCAGGGCCAGGAGCACCTCGAAGACCTCCAGCTACACACCAGTCCATGCACCAGTTCAGCACATGGGTCTGGCCACTATCACGGTGACTGTCCCAAAACTGCTAGACGTGACCCATCCTAGCAAGGAAATGAAAGCACAGCTCTTAGAGCTGCTTGTGATAAATACTGCAGGTTAAGAAAGACGTAAACCCGTGAGATGCAAAATCCATAATCAATTATGAAATTGCCTTTACTTTTATAGAATGGCTTGAGGCAACTTCAGGAGATTGTCGTGCCTAGACAACAATATTTTTCACTCTAAAGGAGAAGCCCTCTGGGACCTGGTGCTGGGAGATGATGTGCTTAGTGAGTCCTCCTGTGGAAAAGCATAAAGCACGGCAAGGGACATTTTCTAGTGAGGGATGTCAGAATGAACAACAAGAAGCATAACATGAAAAGGAAGGGAGAGAGGAACCCAAGGTGTCAACAGAAAGCTGACCCCTGGGACAGGAAATCTTCCTGGTGCTGAAGGGGGTTGTTTTCAAAAAGGAGAAGAAAGGGGAAAATAAGATGCTCAGCATCAGCCCAAGCTTTAGGCAGCTCTTCCCCTCCAGCACCTCCTGGCTAAGGGTGTGAATGCAGGGAGGAAGGCAAGGAGCTGAGAGCAGCTCTTCCACCAGCAGAGAGGACCATCCCAAACTGGAGGGGCCAAAGGGCTGTGGACGTGCCTCCACCAGCACCGTGGAGCTGAGAGACAGAGCCTCCTGACATAAGCAGGTCAGCCTGGAGCTAGAGGGACTGAAAGCAAGGGGTTAAGCCCTCCAGGTCCATCCCACCCAACATGGCCACCCCTCAGGTGAGACAAAATGCATCCAGGAATTAACAGTGGAGATTTAATGGGAGTATGGGGACACCAGGTGGAGAGGAGTACTCTCTGCTACGGCCAAGACAACCATGTGCCACCCACTGTCCCTAACCTCTGAGATGTTAAAATATCTCAGCCTGGCTCTTGGTTTCTGAGACTGCTAGGGCCACAGCTTCTCACAGCTTCCCACACCCACCTCCCAAAATAGAGGACCTAGAAATCACACCACTTCTGCAAACTACACCTGAAGATTCACACAGGATGATGTGACCTGGCCAGCTGAGTCTGTGCAAGAGCCTGCAACATGAGGATGTCCCCCCAACCCTGCAGCGCTGCAAGAGGAGTGCCTCAGCTCCCCACAGCCCGGCCAGCACCAGGGACAGGAGCCAGAAGCCACCGCCCCTTTGCATGAAATGCAAGAGTTTTAACAGTGCTGAGACTGCTTCCCTAGTGCACGGCACCCACGTGTGGAGCATCCTTGCCCAGGCTCCCAAGGACCATCCGCTGGTGCCCCCACTAGCCATGGCACTGGGTTAAAACAAACATCCCAACAAAGCACGAGCTCTTCTCAGGTCGTCACGGAGAAAAGTTCCAGAGATGGCACGCTCATGAGGCACCTGAACAGGCTATAGGCCCCTAATAGTGCACTTTTATTTCTCCTTCAGGCCAGCAGGTGCATATTAAAAAGGCACTTTGGAGCCAGCTACAGACAGCTCAGGGGTGTTTGCAGCTGAAAACAAAACAATATAATACATAAGCAAACCAAAAGCCTTCCCAGTGCACCGTGTGGGAACACTGGGCTTGAGCTGGGCCAGCTGGCCAGCAGCTGAGGAAGGCAGTGGCGAGGGTTTGCCCTCATCAAGAGTGACTATTGAACAGCATTTCATCCAAATGGCCCTGAAGCCTATTTCTTTGATGGGATAAATTCCCCTGCTGAGCTAAGGTTTGTGTATTTACTGAACCACCCACCGAAATTGAGACCAGGCCGTGGAGAGACAGAGAAGAGAAGCAACATTGCTGCCGTGAGACCTGACACCTCCAACTCCTGTCCTGCACATGATGGAAGGGATTAAGCTGGATTTGGAATTCATCTAAATGCAGCGAGCAGTCCCACTGTGACCAAGTATTAATTAACTCAAAGTTAATAGGCAATTTCAACAGAACTGACTTATCCAAGTCAAAAAAAAATGTCAGTTTTGAGAAATGAGGGAGAATTTTGATTTCTTGTTTGAAAGCAGAAATTGTGTGGGAATAGATGCAGTAGAAGTGAAGTGTCTTCACGTTCCTGGGGCAGCAACCAAAGCTCGCCAGAACCTTTAAGAGGAGCCACAGGATTTTATTTTTGGGTGCATAAGATTCCTCGGCTCCTGCTGAAGCCCACAGACCTTGCCCATCCCATCACTTTCATTGAGAAGAGTCAGAGGATGGTCTGAGGCCCCTCAAGCCCATCTGACAGGGCTCATGCCTCTCCCAGAGTATTTCCAGGGGATGTGGCTGGTCCAGTTTAGCAGGGGGGAGGCACTAAATCTCCTCAGGCACTTTGCTTCAACTGAAGCTGAACCAGAGCCAGCCACCACTGGCAATGCAGGCACAACGGCTTTGTGGAGATCACCCTGAGGCAGCAGTACTTCCCTCTCTTGACAGGTCACAGCCCTGGACAAAGTCTCCACTGACTTTACTGGAGTTATTCTGACTCACACTGCTTTTACAGATAGCAAAACATGATCCAGTAAGCCCTCTCCTTCCTCATGCTTTGCATATCAGCCAGGCGATTTATAAGCATCAGGTGAGCTCCTGATTCTCTATCAGATAGAAAAATGCTTCTCAATCAGACTCTGGCCAGAGGTCCCTCTGAACAAACCAGTAGCTCTAACAATAAATACAATTACAGTCTTTGTTCAAAACTAAACAAGCCCTGACAGCTGTATTTTGCAGATGCTATTTAAAGTAATCAGCACCAATTACAATTGTACCAGCTGCTTCAAAAATCAGCTCTGCCAACAGACAACTGTACTGACTCCTCTGACTGATAGCAAAGGAGGAGAAATGTGCTCCAGCTGTCTTTGTGGCAGGGGCCTGGACACTCACCACTTCAGGATGCCTTCATTGGGACAAGCGTTAGAGTTTGGAAACACAGAGGGTGTGGCTGCAAGGGTTAAGAATACTAGGAGCAGGGGAGAGCAGAAGAAGTGGTTGAGCATAACCAGCTGAGAGCAGCAGGCTGCTCCTGGGTGATTAGAAAGGCAAGCAGGAGGCTCCCAGCCCTGGGAAAAGAGAGATTCTCAATCTTCTCTC